GAAACTTTAGGTTTTGTTAATCCTTGCATTGATGGTGAGTGGGGATTTTAGAATTAAAAATGAACCATGAACTTTAGTTGTTTTAGATATAAATTAAGAGTTTGTGCTGTTTTAATAAGCTAGTCGGACGGTGCTTAAAACTGATTTAGTGGAGTATATAGTTGAATGAGTATAATAGTTGAATGAGTTTGGAATCCATATAGTCATCTTGATTGAACTGTGATTGAAGATTTTAGAAAAAAAAAAAAGATTTGATTTTCCTTACTGGCTGTATTTTATTGATGAAAAGTTAGATAAAGTGAATAATGAGTATGTTTGTGATATATATGTGTTGTATGTGATATGACATTGTGAGCACTTGTGGAAACCTTGCAGTGTAAACTGTTTTGAAATAGATTGGTTGAAATATATATCTTTGTATCATTAAATTTCTAAACTATATGGTTGGTCTGTGTTGGTTTGAAGGAGAAAGGATGTACCGTTTTAAGTGAATTGTGAATGCATAAGAGTTGATAATTTTAAATGTTGGGCTGGACATTGTGAATTGTATGATATTGGTTTGATTCTATAAACCCTGAGTTATACTAATTGTGTTCTGCTAAAATACTACATCTGCATAATTTGATTCTGCAGGGCGTAATCGATTATAGTGATGTGGTAATCGATTATTGATGAGGGAATTAAAAATCCAATTTCTCTCTAGTAATCGATTACTAGACCAGTTGTAATTGATTAAACTGACAACAGGTCACCCACAGTTGGTTTATTGATGTTCTATTGCATCCTTTGATTATTCTATGTTGAATATGAGTTAATAATGAAATGTGAAGGACACTAAGACATGATAATGTGAGAATACAGGTTGTAAGACCCAAAGGAAAACTATGATAGCTATTGAATTATAGATTTGATGTACTGTGTAGAATAGTGTGTATGAAATTATGGATAAGCATAATAAGACATCCAGACTTTCAAGATGTTCCTAGTCATATAGACGAAGACATCTATGGTGGGAAGTCGATGTGTGTGTTGCTCTGATTAGAGGTTGAAAAATGATATTATAGGCTTTGGACCATTAAATTTTAAGGGTCTGGGACCCCAAATATTTCTCATCAGGTGTATGTCTTACTGATCTACATTCCATATAGTTTTCTGGAAAGCATCAGTCTTGTTGTGTGTTATGATTGTAAAATGCTAGACTCTCCCGTGAGTGTAGTTTTAGGATGTTTGTGAATGAATAAGTATCGTTTGTAATGTTACACTGTTCTACATGTTTAATCAAACAGTAGCTTACCATTATTTTTATTGTGTGCTTGATCTTTTGGGATGCTGCTATGATCATGTTATACACGTGAGCAGATTCCAAATCTTTTGCAGGTAGTAATAAGATCCAATAATTTAAGAAATGAAGTAGAAATCTCTTAAATTTAAAAGAGTTATTTTCAGTTATGTAATTATGCGTAAAACATTAGTGTAATTATGACTTTTAATGTGCGATATTTTTAAATTATCATAGATGAATGTAAACTAGAAGAGGACCACTTACTTACAGAGGACTAGAAGCCCTTCACAATCATACATCTAATAAAGTTTGGTGGCAAAACTAATCAATTAAATCTCACAGAACATGCGCGTCATGATGTTGTTCGCAGCTGTCAAAATTACTTGGAATTCCTATCAATTGACACCAAACCATATTCATTCAATGTCATTTGATTTTTCACTCATAAATGGGACCAATACAACTAATCACTCATTCCACTTCTTTAAAATTCAGTATATTTGCTTTTAGGAAAAGTGTAGAATAATAAATGTTTTTCAACAAACAAAATGACTCTCATTTCCTAATTAATAAATACAAAAGTGATTTTGTAATAATTACATTTTTTAAATGTTTTTTATTTTATGTAACTTTTTCTTTAAATTAAACAGATATGTTGTGTCCTCCCCACCTAATTATTAGGTAGGCAAATTAAAGTTTTTTGAACCTTTTTTTTTTTCATTTTTCACATTTGGAAATATGTTTCTAACAATAAGCAAAGCATTTCCAGAATATTCTTTTAAAAATCAAAAGTTAACAGATAGTTTTACGATTACATTAAAACTTGATACAAAATTTTTAGGATTTAAGCATAATATAAATTCTATTAGTATATATTCTTAGAATTGAATCTCTTTATTAGTATATTGTAGATTGAGATAATAATACTTAAATTTATTTTACTTAGTATGTGTTCTATGAATTTTATATTTTTTAATAAATTTTTTTATTTTATATTACACTTTATTTTTGAGATCTAAATATTCTTTATATTTAATTTAATTGATGTTATTTAGTTATAAAGACGTGATGAATATGATATGTGCCCTCAAATTACTGGACGGTGGGAAGGAGTACATTAAAACATATTCATCACAGCATTAACAAAAAGGACAAATGTTTCATTTTGACGATTAAAATTTTACTCAACTCTGCGGAAGATTTTCCAAGAAGAGAAACGTGTATTCTGACACGTATTTAATGTGATCTATCTTCAAAGAATAACCTCAACAACAATTTATTGCTTGACGAATCACCATATTAAAACACTTATAACTTAAGTGATGATTGGTAGTTCATATAAAAAAAAATTACACTTTTAACTTAATAACATCCTAAACAAGTATTATCTATCTTCTAGTGTTTTTCAACCATGTCAATAATTAGTGTATCTCCTTCTTTCCTCTGACTAAATGAGCAACATTTTGCCATAACTGAAATGTTTAATTTTACTAACAAATCTCTTTAAACTTAAAAACTCCCAATAACCCTGAGAAAATAAAATAGTAAACATTAAACATCAATATTTCAAAAAATTTTAAAAATTATAGAGAACATTTAGATTACAAAGAAATATAACTTTTGAAATTATGAAAACTAACTAATCACATTTTATTTCCCATAAATTCTATGTATTAAAATGAGTATGTATTTACACACCACAGGATCTTACATCTACTTTGCTTTCATTTTAAATTGTATTCTTATATTTTATAAAGTTTATATATATTCTTTTACTTTGCTACATAAATTTAATTTTTTAATTCTAATTATTCTTTATGTATTTTTGTCATTTAATTTTTATTTATTTATACAAATAAAAATGAAAATGTTTAACAAATAATTAAAAGTTTGAGAAATAATTATATATATATAAAAACACCAAATTATAAATAATTTTAAAAAATATAACATTACATGTTTTTATAAAATATAAAGATTAAAATTACAATTAAACGATCTTTATTTTATTAACTATCATGAGTTTAGATACTAGCTATGTAAATCTTCAAAATATATAGGATAAACATAATCAATATAAAATTAAAATATAATATTTAAATTAAGGTATACTTTATAAAAAATATTTTTACATATTGTTAAATACATTGTTTAATAAATAAACAAGTTTTTTTAATAATATATATAGTTATTAGAAAACGTACCGTATACGACTCAAAACTTTATATCAAGATGATTTTAACTATAACATGAACTTGGGGATGAAAATATATCATATCCAGTTTTCAAAATTGAAATATGTACCTCAGATGAACATTATTGAAATTAGGATTGAGTCGTTGTCATTTCTGTTGTAAGAGACTAAATTAACTATTTTATTAATATATATATATATATAATTTGTTTCTAATTTTTCAGTCATTTTTTAAATTTTATTTATATATAATTGACCTTAAAATGTTAATTTAAAAATAAAAAATATTATTTAAAGAAATAAAATTAAGTATGATATTTTATAAACTTTTAATATTTGTAATATATTTTTAATCTTAAATTTATTTTTAACTTATATGTTTGGACACTAATTATAAAAATATTAGTAGTTTAAATAATAAAGTTAGATTGAGTTTAATTAAATTAAGTTAGATAATTTTATTTATTTATTAACCCAACCTAATAAAGTATCATATTAAATAATTTAAAATACAATTATTTATTAGAAAAATACCTCAAATAAATTGGTGTTGATAAACGCATCATTCAAACAAAATCACAAAACAATAGTTCTACACTTGTTAATGTAATTACATTTGATTATAAAAACGATATATTGTCATTTAATTTAAAAATAAAATGATCATATCATCAATATCAATACAAGACAAGAATTTGAAGGTGTGTATCAAATATTTTCCTAAATAAATAGTTATAATGTTTCATAAAATATAAAAATATTATTTATAACAAGAATTCTACCTAATCCAACTTAGTCCAATAAAAAAAATTAAAATAAGTTAAATTATACAAGTTGACTTGAGTCCTTAGAACTGACGCAGCAGATACAGAGGAGTTGGCTGTAAAACGAGAACACGCATCAAGTGTGCAATATTTCAAAAAAATCATATCAAATCAATGGTTTTCTTTGTTATTTTATTTTGATATGAAAGCTAAATCAAATCAAGTCTTTGTCTATTTGAAATAATTTATTATTTAATGTAGCAATCCCAATATTACATTGTCTCAAAAGACAACTATGCAAGGAATTGTTTATAAGTAATGAAAGTAATTATAAATTTCATATATTAATTGTTTAGTTTAAATTGTTTATATACATATTTTTTAAAAATTTTAAGTAACCTTTTAAAAAAAATTGAAGAATAGAATAATAAAGTTTATTTTTTAAACAATTTTTGGTAACATTTTTTTAACACGGTAATAAAAAGAAGTTGTTTAATATGTATTTTTATAGTTTTAGTGACTTTGTCTAAGGGAAACCGCCATAGAAGAGTTCAAAACAAGCATGTGTTATAAATTAATTTATTAATTAATCCTTTTGACATGTCAAGATTTGCAATAATAATTTTTAATGAACTGATAATATAATTTGCATGTAGAAGAATTAAAATTTCTTTTGCCTATAAATACACAGCTTCTTGCATCAACAATTTGTTCATCATTTATTTATACTTTTGAGCGAAAAGCACGTGAGACGAGGATAATGTTTGGGAACGCGAACAAGAGCAGCGAAGAGCAGAACGCGAACAAGAGAGAAAGAATGAGAGGGACAGTGATTTTGATGAAGAAGAATGTGTTGGACTTCACCGACTTAAGTTCCTCCTTGCTAGATCGTCTTCATGAGTTTGTGGGAAAACACGTTTCTCTTCAACTCATAAGTGCTTCTCAGGAAGCTTCTGGTTAGTGTTTTTTTTTTTTCTATCTTCTTGTCTGCATTTATTCGAAAATACCCTTCTTCGTATGAGAATCACAAACATCCAAGCATGTGTTTCATTTCATCCTCAAATATTATCAGATACAAACACTTGGAACTTCTATTACATCTTATTAATTATGAGAGTTTTCTTTTATGGATTATTTGGTAGAAGGATTTTTTTTCTTATATTTAAGAATAATAAATTTTAGAAATAATGAATTTTGAAAAATAATTTTTTTTGTTTGACTAGTGAAAAATGGTAGTAAGAATATTTATACAAGATTTTTAGAAATAAATAAATAATATGTTATTTTTTTTAAATTAGTTGTTATCATATTAAATCATTTCATCAAAAATAGTTTTTCATCTCCAAAGGAATGCTTTTTCCTTAGAAACTTGACTAAAAAATAATTATGAAAAATAATTTTCTGATCATTTATTTCTAAAGTATAAATAAAATATGTAAATAAATGTATTTAAGGAAGAGATTTATAACATCCCATTTTTCTCCCTTGATATATACAAGCAAAAACACACACGCTTCGCCATGCAGTTTTGATTGGAGAACATTGAGAAGTAAAATTGCTTTATATAAATAAATTTGTTTGTATAAGTAATTTAATTTAATTTTATTTTTAATGTTATAAATGAGAAATATTTACAGAAAAAATGTTCTAACTATTAATATGTAAAATATATATATATATATATATATATATATATATATATATATATATAATATCTTTTAATAAAGATAGTCATGGAGTCTGACCAATCGACAATCTAATTTAATTCAAATAAATTAGGTTAAATTTTATTATTTAAGGAATCTCTTATTAAAGTGAATATTTCTAAATATTAAATCTAAGTTGAATCGAATTAAGTAAAAAATATATATAGAAATCCCATCCTATCTAATTAGAGATATTTTATTAGATTAAATAATAAATTTGTCTAAAATTGACTCATTCATATTCCTATCTTGTAAGCAAATGTGTAAAAATGTTTACCTAATTTGTGTTTTTTAAAGTCTATTAATTATTATTATTTTCATTCAAACATAAAAAAATTATAAAACAATTACTAATTATGATACAAGATTTAATAGATAAATTAATAAAATAAAAATATTAATTAAATTTTCTACTCTCAAATAGAAAAATATAAAATAAGAAATATAATGTTGTTTTCTTTCTAACTAGTTTTTTTCATTTTTATCTTGTATTTATTATTATAACCTCTGTTAACAAATGAAATTTTTTAAAATAATTTGCATACCTTAATTAATGCTATCACAATCAAAGCGAATCAAAATATGAAGTTTTCATGTCGTGTTTGGACTACTTAGCTTCCAAGTTAGGTATTATTATTTTTTTACTTGTCTTTTTAAGACTTCAAAAATCAAGGTAAAAATTTAGGTTAAAATTTTGATTTTATGAACTACAAAGAATTGAAAAGTGTAATTCGTTATACGAAAATAAAGTTTAATGTTATTATTATAACTTTGCTATAATTTTTTATATAAAAAATTTAATAGTTTTGTTTTTTTATGTAAATGTAAACAAAAAATTAGACATTTATTTTCCATGTTCTGGATGAAAGATATGGATCATAATGGGTAGATATAGGTGTGTGTTTAATAAGTGTGTATCACTATCTACATTTAATGCGAAGGTCAATAAATTTTTTAAAAATACATATAAAAAGTGCATTGGTAGGTATTCCAATTAATAAATTATCTATACTCTTTTAAACATAATAATAAGACAATGTTTAGCATACTAAGATTATTAAATATAAGGCATACTATTTTATTTAAACATTCAGGTTCTTTTGTTGGATATAAAATGATAGATAAGAGAACAGGATATAACAAATAATGTCATTATATAATGAAGTGAGAATAAATTATTAAATTATCAATATTTAATTTTAATAAATAGCATAATTCGTAGTTTTTTGTCACAATATTTTAAAATGAAAAAATATGTTAAGTAAAATATGGTATATAGTATTATATAAAACAATATTAAGAATTATATAAAATTAAATTTTATTTATATAATTATTTTTATTTTAGAATTATAAAAAAGATCAAAGTTTTATTAAAAAGTATATTATAATTGTAAAGTAAAAAATAATAATATATATTTTACCCCAGAATTAGAGTCTTAAAATTATACTATACTATTTTTTATATGTAAATGATTTTTTTAGTCGGATAATGCCCATAAAAACTAATGTATACAAAATTAATAAAAATATATTTGAAATATTTTAAAACTAATATCCTATTTTGATAAATATTTTTAAGAATTATTTTTCATTAAAACAAACTTGTAGAATAAAATAAATAGTTTATCATAAATCTAAAATGTATTTTAAATTATTTATTATAACATAATTTATACTTTCAAAAGTATTTATGTATCATCAACTTTGGGGATGTATTCTACAAACTAAAATATCATGGTCTATATAAAATTTACATGATAAATAATCAAATTTTATTAAATTTTTTCTTCTAAATACAAAAGGAAATTATTATAATTTCTCTCTTGTTAAGATACTATAATTAAAGGAAAAAGACAGTTAATAATCCCATTACACAAAGTAGATATCAAAATCTTTTTAAAAAACTACTGTATAAAAGTTCATAAAGTAACTCTCTTTGTCAATCATCTGTATGAAGAAGATTAATTGTAAATGATAAATATTTTTAACTATACATATTTGCTTGAGGTTTGATTTACCCATTATGGAACCTGAAGTTATTATGGTAACAGATGTTGAAGGGAATGGCATGAAAGGTAAACTTGGGAAGCCTGCATATTTGGAAGACTGGATCACCACAATCACACCTTTGATAGCGGGCGAATCAGCATTTGGGGTCACATTTGATTGGGATGATGATGAGGATATAGGAACCCCAGGAGCTTTTTTAATAAGAAATCATCATCACAGTGAGTTCTACCTGAAAAGCATGACACTTGAAAATGTTCCAGGCCATGGTGTCATCCACTTTATCTGCAACTCTTGGGTATACCCTGCACATAAATATAAAACGGATCGCATTTTCTTCAGCAACAAGGTAAAACCACAAAGTACAAACTTAACTATCAATGTATGAAAGCATTTTAAGCCATGCTAACTATAGTTAGACATGATCAATCTCCACTCAACACATAATCAAGTCTTATATTCTCTTTGTTATAAACTACTTTATAGTAATTTCTTGTGAATTACTAGTTATATGTTTAATTACTACTATGATGTATTGCATGCAGACATACCTTCCAAGTGAAACGCCAGAGCCGCTTCTTAAGTATAGAGAAGAAGAACTAGAGAGTTTAAGAGGAGATGGAAGAGGGACCCTGCAAGAGTGGGATAGGGTGTATGACTATGCATACTACAATGATTTGGGTGATCCGGATAAGGGTGCACAATATGCTCGCCCAGTTCTAGGAGGGTCCACTGAATATCCCTACCCTCGAAGAGGAAGAACTGGTAGACCACCTTCAAAAACAGGTAAAGCTTTTCGTGTGTTGCTTTGGTATTCATTAAAGTCCATTTTATTAGCTAAAAACATTTTGGAAAGTGATTTTTGGTCTTTTCAGTTTTGGTTTTAAATTTCTGATGTGTTGTTATTTTACCAGATGCCAAGAGTGAAAGTAGATTGAATTTGGCTATGAGCTTGGACATCTATGTTCCAAGGGATGAAAGATTTGGTCACTTGAAATTGTCAGACTTTCTTGCTAACGCACTGAAATCCATAGTTCAGGTTCTCAAACCTGAGTTGGAATCTCTCTTTGACAGCACCCCTGAGGAGTTTGATAGCTTTGAAGATGTGTTTAAACTCTATGAAGGTGGGATCAAGCTGCCTGAAGGTATACTTAAGAATATTAGGGATAGAATCCATGCAGAGCTGCTCAAAGAAATTCTCCGAACTGATGGAGAAAGGTTCCTCAAGTTTCCCATGCCTCAAGTGATTAAAGGTATTTTTACGAGTTTCAAGGACATGGTCACATCGGGTAGCTTAATGTGTTGGCAAAGAAAACTGAAAAAGTCACGTGTTTTGTAGATAAATTACTCCCATATGATATTAACATTCTTGATGATTTTGAGCAGAGGATAAGTCTGCATGGAGAACTGATGAAGAATTTGCTAGGGAGATGCTAGCTGGTGTAAACCCTGTTATTATTCGCTGCCTCCGAGTATGAGCAAGTGATTTTAACCTTAAGATTATATAATCGATTGAATTCAACTAAAGAATAGTATGTTGTCATAATTATCAAGTATCCTTTTGGTAAACTTAATTGATAATTGTTTTTTCCTTCACAATTATCCAAAATAAATCCCAGGAATTCCCACCAGCAAGTAAGCTAGATGCTAAAGTCTATGGTAATCAAACCAGTACAATAAAGAAAGAGAACATTGAGAGCAACATGGATGGACTCACAGTACATGAGGTGATTTTCAAGTTAGCTAGAACTTTAGTAGTCAAAGTTAATTCTCTGTTAATTTGATGGTCTGATTTTGTTACTGTTACTTTTGTATTTGGTTAAATAGGCTATCAGACACAAGAAGCTGTTCATATTAGATCACCATGATGCACTAATACCATACTTGAGGAGGATAAACTCCACTTCTACAAAGACTTACGCCAGTAGGACAATTCTTTTCTTGCAAAATGATGGAACTTTAAAGCCATTGGCCATTGAGTTGAGTTTGCCACATTCCGAAGGAGACCAATATGGTGTCATTAGTAAGGTTTTCACTCCTGCAGATGAAGGTGTTGAAAATTCCATCTGGCAGTTAGCTAAAGCTTATGTAGCAGTAAACGATTCAGGCGTTCATCAGCTTATTAGCCACTGGTATAACACTATAACTTCATCAATGATACAGAAACAGGAAAAAACCATCTTAGTTAATCTTTCATTGAAAACAGTTTCTTATATCTTTCCATTTGTCACAGGCTGAATACTCATGCAGTGATTGAGCCATTCGTCATAGCTGCAAACAGACAGCTCAGCGTGCTTCACCCTATTCATAAACTACTGCATCCACACTTTCGTGACACCATGAACATAAATGCTCTAGCAAGACAAATCCTCATCAACGCTGACGGATTTGTTGAGGCCACGGTTTTCCCATCGAAGTATTCGATGGAGATGTCTTCTGCTATTTATAAGAACTGGATTTTCCCTGACCAAGCATTACCCGCAGATCTCATCAAGAGGTACCACGCATGCACAACACCATTACTATATATATTAATATGGTTTGTTCTAAACACATGGTTGAAAACATGATTACATATAAGTATAATGCTCACTACTTACTTGGCGATCCACACTAAAGAACTAACTTAAAACTTACACTATTATTAACTTATGGCTAAATTTTCACTTACTCTTCTAAATATATCGTCGAAATCATGATAACTAACGAATGACATTAACTAATCAATTTGATGTTAATGAGCTGATAAATAAGTTGCTTCCTTCAGAGGAATGGCCGTTAAAGATTCAGGTTCTCCGCACGGCCTTCGACTTGTGATTGAAGATTACCCTTACGCTGTTGACGGGCTAGAGATTTGGTTTGCCATAAAGAACTGGGTTCAGGATTATTGCTCCTTTTACTACAAGGAAGATGACACGGTTAAGAAAGATTCAGAACTACAATCTTGGTGGAAGGAGTTAAGAGAGGAGGGTCACGGTGACAAGAAAAACGAGCCTTGGTGGCCAAAAATGCATACTCGTGAAGACCTCATTGAAGTGTGCACTATCATTATATGGGTTGCTTCAGCCCTGCATGCATCCACCAACTTTGGCCAATACCCTTATGCAGGTTTCCTCCCAAACCGTCCAACCATAAGCCGAAGATTCATGCCTGAGAAAGGAACTCCAGAGTATGATGAACTTGTGAACAACCCTGAGAAGGCTTTTCTGAAAACAATCACCGCACAGTTGCAGGCCCTTATAGGCATTTCACTCATAGAAATATTGTCTAAGCACTCTTCTGATGAGTTGTACCTTGGACAGAGAGACACTCCTTACTGGACTTCTGAAGTGGAACCATTGGAAGCGTTTGGGAGGTTTGGTAAAAAGCTGGCTCAAATTGAGGAAAGGATCGTGACACTGAACAGTGATGGGAAACACAAAAACCGAGTTGGACCAGTTAACATGCCATACACATTACTTTATCCTAGCAGCAAAGATGGACTCACTGGCATGGGAATTCCCAACAGTGTCGCCATTTGAAAGGGCTTGCATTGCATGTCGTATCACTACGATGCATATTTTTTCTGCCATTCTGCTTAAGGATACTGGAGCTTTGTCATTTTTCATTCTTCTTTCTGCATCCGGTGTATATCTATTCGTTAACTGTTTATATGTATAATGTAACAATAATATGTTCTGTGGAATATGTCAAATACTTTGAATCATTGTCTATCAACAAGAAAAAATATATTTAAATTATAAATTTTAAAATTCAATATATCTGAAAAGGGAAATTTTGAAATTAGAATGAAAATAAATTTAATTTATAAATCTTTAAATGAATAATAACTTATAAAATAAACATAAAATTGAATACACAATAGTAAATGGAAACTAACTCAAAAAACGGCTTTCTAGGGTGAGAACATAAATTTATAACTCAAATTTTCACGTTTATTACTTTTTAAATAATTATTTTGATGAAAAAATAGTTAAAAAATTAATAAACAAAAATGTTTTTCAAAACACTTTCTTACGGCCTGAAAATTGAACCGGTTGATAAACTTTGGGCCCAGATTTCGGCCTACAACGTAGCGCCGAAAAAAAAAAAAAACTAAGCGTGAGGGAGAAGCTTTTTAAAGTTGAAAAAAACTTCTCCTAACCACCTAGCGCCAAAATAAATGAACCAAAGCTTCCTGGTCTTCATTCTCTCTTCGCTCCTTTCTACCGAAGAAACCATCAGTGAGTGTAAACCATGTCAGATTCACAGTCCAATACTGAGATTTTCAGCGTTCGGATTGTCTCCATCGACTATTACATGGCACCACCATTCCCTGACACCGATATCTGTTATAGTAGCTTCCACGGTACGAAACCAACCCTAAGTTTTTCACCTTCCAAGTAAAATTGAACTCTGTCAAAGGACAAAAGACAGCAATTTAGGGTTCATTCCGCGTTTCAAAGTTTCAGTGTTCATCTCATGGTACTAGTTTGCGTTTCATTGCTTGTTTTTTTTTTTTTTTTTACTTAGGTGGAAAGGTGAACGAGGTACCTGTGATAAGAGTGTATGGTTCTACTCCTGCTGGCCAGAAAACTTGCGTGCACATGCATCGAGTAAGATCACACGTGAAATTTCGTTATCTTTTAAACCGGTTTTGGCTAAGAAACAATAATATGCATTAGTTGTTATGGTTCGTGTTTACTTCCCTTTTTTCCTCATTGATTTTAATTTCAAGTCATAGCGTTTTTTTTTTTATCACAAATGCAATGCAAAAGTTTTACTATTTTGTAATAAGCGAAGTTGTTAGTGTTTCTTTCATATGGCACTATTTTTGCATTTAACTAGTTTATTCAAATTATTCATTGTAGGCCCTACCCTATTTGTATGTGCCGTGTTCAGATATACCACTTCAACTGGACCAAGGTAATAGCGAGTCACATTGACGGGTTCTTGTTTTGTTTATATCAAGTGTCTCTTTGTATCTTCATATTTATATTTGAATTTGTTTGATATCCTTCTTTTAACGATTTTGGTAAATAGGTTTCTTATTTTTAAGTTTTAACTGTTGTTATATGCCGTATGCAATTTTTTTTATATTTATTTTCTCTTTTTTACTTTGTGGGCCAGATTTAATCATCTTGATGATGCTTTTGATTTATCTAACTTTCTTCAGTATCTATGCTTCAAATAGATCTAACATTTTGATTTAGTTACTTAATATGCTGATTAAATTTTTCTGGATGTTCCGCAGGTGATGCATTCACCTATAAGGTAGCTGCTTCTCTTGAGAAAGCCTTAAAGGTATCCTTGAATGAGTTAGAATGTGTTTTGTACTTTCTATTTTAGGCTTTTTTTATGTCTTTATGCTTTATATATGCAGTTGCTTGTATTAAAGAATAAAGATGTGACATCACATTTGATTGCATCTACAGCTTAAAGGCAGTACTGGTTCAACAAGACAACATGTACATGGATGCAGCATTGTACGAGCAAAGAAATTTTATGGCTATCATTCATTTGAAGAGTTATTTGTAAAGATATACTTGTATCCACTATCCTGATATTTTGTATATATTTTTTATTTGCAATATATTTCCACACGCATAGTTGCACATCATGCACGTGTTCCAATTGTATGTACAAGCTAGGATGATAGAATGCTTAAAACATGGAAGCTTTCTTATCTTACCCCCCAAAAAGAAGTTTAAGCCTTGACTGTTGCATAAGATATTATCCTCAAGATGTTTCCCGTGCAGCTAGTCTTCTCTTGGTAAAATTCTTATTAGTTTGAAGCTTGTACCTCAGTTATAACTTTGTTCAGAATTTTTTTTACACTGGTGGAAAAGTCTTTATTGAGATTTCCTTTTTCAGGCTGGTGCTGTTTTTGATAAAAGTTTACAGCCATATGAATCACATATTCCATTTATTCTTCAGTTTCTGGTATGTACATTCAATCGATTTATTGTATCTGAAAGTTTAAGTGACACTAAACATGATATGATGGTTAATTAGCCAACTTTCCTTGCATAGCATCAGACAAACCCCAAATGTTTAAGTTTTTATGTATATAGCTGCATTACCTGCTGAAATAATCAGTTTAATTTTATGTTTTCTTTTTCTTATTATTTATATGGTTTGGATTTACTTTGGTGGATTTAGAACATCCAGCTACTGTCATGTGCTTGGATGCACTTATTGTCTTATGATTCACTCATTTCACTTTTTTATCTTTTAATAATAAATTGGTCAATGGTTCGAGTGAAGTGACATTTTTCTGGCACTGTTCAATTGGTTTATTGCCATTTCCTATGGCTACTTATGTGAACAGATCAACTGAATGTCTTTCTCCATTAATGTTATATTACTTGATTGACTGTAGCTTAAATGCAAAATTGTGTAGCACATTTTTGCCTAATTTTATCTTACGTTTGTAGATATATACACTTTGTTTTGTCGTGTTAGGTTGATTACAACTTGTATGGCATGGGTCATTTGCACCTATCAAAGATGAAGTTCCGCCACCCGATACCCGATACTTGCAAGACATTAAATATTGATAGTCAGCATAGAAAGGTGTGTTTACTTTCAGATTTAAGTCCTCCTATTTTACCTGTATTGTTTAACTAACAAACTGCATTTGGTTTCAATGATGTATGTCCCTGATTTATATTTGATACTGTAATCTTTTGATTAGGCAGATCCACCTGCTCATGCATGTTTAGAGTCAAAGTTGTGGATCTCTTCCATGATTCCATCTGAGTGGATGTGGTTACCCCCTAGCAAATCCAGTGCTTCATTTAATGATGAGGTTCACTGTCCTAAACGCCAAAGCATCTGTGAGCTTGAAGGAGATACTTCTGTGGATGGTTTGTTCGGTTTCATGGCCATACTAACACAAACACAAATGTGCATGCACACATATATACTTAAATATGTAATGGTGTTTTCTGGTACTGTTGTTTTTCCTTATCAAAAAATATCTGTTGTGGCAGAGATTCTTAATCAGCAGTTTAAAATGTATTCATCTCTTTCACAAACATGCTCAGACGTCAACATGGTTCAGTCACTTGTACCAATATGGGAGGTAGCCTATCATGATTATTCTTTCTGTATCTCTTACATGTTATCTTGTCTGGGTTTTATCTAAATTAATTGCCTCAATTGTTTCAGGAGCAACAGAAACGAACTGGGATTCATGAGGCTACCATGCTTTCCGAACCTGGCAAACCACTTCCAGAAGATGTTATGAAACTTTTCTCCGTTGGTCTTGACTTTGAGAAAAAAATTATTGAATTATGCAGTGAAGCTGAAACCTCTTTATTTTGTACTCCTTCTGGGCAGGAAAGGAGGTTTGTATGAAGCCATTAATTATTACTTGATGGAAAATTTATTATATTTTGCACATTAAGAGAAGCATTAGAACCCTTGAATTGTTTCAGAGAAACAGACATAATAGGTTCGGCATCACCACCGGCTACATTATGCAAAAATGCCAAATTGCATGAGGAAGGGGGGACTGACGCAAATCTTGAAATGTTGACTATGGATGAAATCCAGTCATCTGAAATGATTGGAAGAATGGACATAAAGGCAGTAACTTTTTTCATGATTTTTCTTTAATCATGTATAACAAGATATTTCCATAATTATACTTACCTTGTTCTTCAACAAAATAATCTTCTTCAGGGGTTGTGTTACGAAGTTTTTATTTCATAGGCTGTGTGTATGTGTTTGTTTTCTCCTATTTTGTAGATGTTGCCTACAAAATGACAAAAGTGCTCTTCCTCCCACCCATTTCTCAAAATATATCTTGCTGTGATTAGTTGCTCTAGAGAGGAACCTATGAAAGATTTATTCAGAGGGATTGTTTTGTGTTAAATCCTCTATCTTTCAGTAGATGCTTGCATGTATTCACCTACCTTCATTAATATTTTATATTGCCGATTGTCTAGATCTTAATAAATTGTGTAAATTTGTACTATGCTGCTGATACACATTCACATGTAGTAATATATCTCAACATTATTCCCAATGGTTTCATGCATTGCTTGCCCTCCTTAACAAGAGTAGATAAAGATTATTTAAATTATTTTAAGCAGAAAATGTTTTCCCTAGGTTTTACCATTGGATTCATTTTTTTCATTTTATTTATATTTAAAACTGTATATGGATATTTTCTCAAGAACTATTGTAAATTTTAGAAGAACCTGTTCAAGGAATAAGGAAATGACAACCTCATTTTTAACTTTATATATTGTTTTCCTTAAAAATAGTCCAGGAACAATGTCTGACTAAATTGACCCACAAGGATGTTAGTTTTATCATGGCACTATTCTACCTTTGATTTTCTTTTAAACAATTTGGTCTATTGAAGTTTTCTCTTGGATTTCTGTATTTCCTGCTTTTTAGGGTGCCAATAATGAAGCACAAAATCTTCTTAAGTGGCTTGCAACTTCTCAAGCCGCAGAGGATATAAACTCTGATGATGAACTTGCTTATGAAACAATCTTGACTCCCTTGTTGCCCGCTGCAACAATTGACAAGGTTCTGGAGGAAGCTAATATGGCTTATGAGAGTGAGTCCCAAAAGGAGTGTCAGGATATTCTAGATTCAACTGATGGTGTGCTTGAGTTGGAGTTACCAAAAGAAAAGCTTTCTTATTCCTTTGTTCACAATTGTCCTTTTAGAACTTCATCAAACAGTAAATTACCCCAAGTTGATGGTTCTAATGATGATGAGTTCTCTAGTCCATGCGGTAGTTTGGCTGGAACATCTTCTCTGGCAGAGACAAACAGTGAATTCAAAAGCGCCTCTGAGTACCATGTTGTGCACAGTACTACCACATGTAAAGTTAGTAAAGAAGAAAGGAATAAAAAATGGGGGTCTTTGCCTTTTCCCATGATTGATAAGGTTAATAATGATGGTGAGGGTGCTACTTTACCTGTGACTCATCCAGATGACAATGAGATTGGAGATTCTACTCACTCAGATCACCTAAACAGAAATGAGGTTAGAATTAGTGCTTGTACACGGAACAAGGACAAAGATGTTTCAGATTCAAAAGAAGTAGATAGATCGATTAACCGTTCTCTGCGGGACTTGATGAGGCGAAAGCGATCCTATCGAGTTGAACAAGCTGAATTTGAGTCTGGAATTACTAAAAAGCTTCTTTTAGACAGGCACGAGGAACCAAATACATGCTTTTGGCAAAACCAACTGGATTTAAATACAATGCAAACTGATGAAGAGGAAATGGAAAACCAAAAGATTTGTGAATATGAAGTTAGCAATCATGCTAATTTTGTGCATGAGAAACTGCCCCTTTCAACTGGAAGTGACAGTCCTTTACAATCTAGTAGGCCAAAAGATGAATGTTTTGGTCAACATGAAATGGTAGGTATAGAGGCAAGTTCAGTGGTGAGGAACTGTATAAATGGAGGTTCTACTTTAATGCATGATGGGCCAGGTCTCCATAAGCCTGAAAAACTATATTTATTTGATTCCATAGATCAGTCCGGGGCTTGCAGGGGTGAAAACCTTAAGGTTGGTATGGCTTTGACAAAAGATGTAGCCTCCAATTCCTATATCCAAAATCCCATTTTAGACACTCGGTTTAAAACAGCTGCTGTTCATGCCGTCAGAGCTCCTGAGAGGAGTCCACAAACTGATTCTTCTGCTTCAACTAGTGTGCAGAGCTCGTTCAATGATTTTAAAGTGTTTGGCAAATATAATTGTGTGGATCAAAGTTCTCACCAAAGCTTATCAGTTGTACAAAATGATCAGATGACATCTTGTGAGAATTCTGGGAAGAAAAGTGCTACAAGTGATGTGCAAATATTGTTTAGTGAAAAAGTGGATGATCAAAAGCTGGGTGAAAATTTGTTACATGAGATTATTGGCTCCGAACCCACTGACCTAAAGGGTAATCACATGAAATTAACTGAAATAACCACAAGTAAAAACCCCCCAGCTGATAAGAATCTTAAAAGTACTTTGTGCTTGCCAACAACCTCTGATACCCATTTACATTTGGATGAGGACAGCTCTGATGAAATACCAGGTTTTTAATTTATCCTCTTTTACCCTCTTTCCCCATTTTTTTTTTCCTTATTTGCATTTGTCTCTATTTTTTCTGTATATATCGAATTGGTTTTGGATCTGTGTTTCTCCAAAGGAATTTTGGTGAATCTGTGATGCAGTCTCACGATATGCCTTGTTAAACAATTGAGTCTATCTCATACTAGTTTATGTATACAACCAGCCTTTTCAATATTTTTTTTTGTAAACTTGAATTTTTTGAATGTTTTACTTAATTATACATACATTTAGTGGCACAGTAGCATCCTGATGAATCTTGGTGACTTACTAAGGAAGTAACCTTGTGTATGCATAGGGAATTTTACAATTTTATTGAATTAGAATTGCTTTCATTTCAAAATTATTTAAAATTTAAAAATTTTTAAATGTTTTATTTAAGGTAATTTAAATTTATTGAATTTTAATTTTCTTGTTTAGATAAAATATTTCAACAGAACTACAAAAAGACCAAATACAAAATGTGAACACCAAATAATACTAATGTCGTCAGTCGAAAAAAATCCTTCCAATCGAAGAAAAATAACTGCTACGGACTTCAACTACAAAATTTTTTACTGCCTTTCACCAAAAATTATTCTCATAGATATTGGTTGAAAAAAAATGTTCTATATTGATGGATAAATGATCCCAACAATGTCAATCGGAAAATATCCCCTAACATTAACTTGAAAACCTTGACTTACATTGACTATAAAATAGTCTCTGTTGTTGATTAAACCTTGATTGGCCAAAAAATAATTATGTTAATGTTAGTCAATAAAACTTTAATTAATGTTGGTCGAGAAATAATCATGACCTTCTTTATAGTTGATGGTAGTCAAAGAATAATCTTGTTAATATCAATTGAAAATAATCCTAGCTGAAAGTCTAGCAAAAAATTGTGTTTGATAACACCACTGATGTTGACAAAAAAACCCTAACTAACATTAGCTAAGAAATAACACTGACCTATACTGACAATAAATATTTTAGCGATGATGATCGGAAAATAACCACAATCAACTTTAACCTACAAGAAATCGTACTGACATCAATCGAAAAAACAATGTCAAGTTGATAACAGCTTAGCCTTGGCAAAGTTGACTATATTTAGACTCACATTGAGTTAAAGAAAGAATATGAAGAGAATAGACCTACATTTTAGAGAGGAGAGAATATAAAGAATTTAAAATTCTTACTAAGTGGAGTTTGAAATTCTCTAATTCTTAATAATCAAATTCTTGTCAAGTTTCTAGAATTTTAATTTCGTTTAAAATTCCCCATTCAAATTACACATTTTGTCATAAAAGGTTTCAAATTCTCTATAAAATTGAACTACCTTCTAAAATTCTCCATACAAACGCGCTATAATGTTATTTTGAAATTTCTACACTCAATGTTTTTATGTTATGTAACTGTGATAGCCATGTAGTGGGAAGATACTTGGTGATGGTTATTTATTTAGTTTGTCTTGCGGCTAAGTTCTGTGGTTTGATCTTATTGTGTGTTTGATGAAACTTCACATCATCCTTTGTTTATTACTTGAAGGGGATGATCTAGATGTCTTTCTTCCGATTTCTGCAAGGGATTCCAAGAAAGGGATGGAAACTTGCAATGAGTATACAGTTAAAACTCTTACACCTAGGGGGACAATGGGTGCCACCACTCTCTATCAAAATGACGGCTCTCACCTCTATCTATTAACACCTAATATTTTGCCTCCTTCTGTGGATACTGTGCACAAATGGCTACCTTGTAATGAGAGAGGTATCTGCTAAACCATTTCATACCTGATCAGTAATTTGTTTTTGCCCATATTAGTTGCTCTAGGAAATTCACTAAAGGAACGGATAGGCTGTATCTGAAGGGTGCAACGTTTTTCTCAAATTAATATGTAACTTGCTTGCTGGCGAAATGTTGGTTTTCTTCAGTAAGTTGATTATTGTTAACAAGAGATAGTATAAAGGTCAAGAATGGAGTTCATGTCTTAATCGGACAGACACTGTTTTGAATTTTAGAGAGCTTGTTTCACAAGCTTTTACAGCTTTTGAAAATAAAATAATAATGCATAAAGCTAATATACAGAATTTAAACATACAACTAAGACAAACAAAAACATACTTGTACATCTGTAACAATTATGACTGGGTAATACCTGGATCTGGTTATATTAATCTTCTCTCATCAGGGCATATTCCTGATCATATACATAAAGAAACAGATGCAGAGAACAAGGATGTACCTAAATGTGCTTCTGAGACTGATCCTCCTCTTGGGCGTAAGCTGTATCAAGACGCTGATAGAGAAAAGATGCCTTCATGCATTGAAGGACAAACTGAAAGAGTGAAAACACACCTAGATGACTCACAAGATATTTCTCAGATATCAGGCCCTGATGGAAAATCAATCTATACCCCTCTAAGTCAAATTGGATTTCAAGACCCTGCAAGTGTTGGCCGTGGACAACAACTGACATTACTTAGTATAGAGGTATAGGAGATTGTACACTCCTTTTCTTTTCAAGCAAATATGTGCATAGCTTTAAAGTTCTTACATGTTTCTCAAATTTGCTAGTCGGATCCTGATTTTAAGACCTTATTTTAGGTATTTGGTGTTTAAAAGAACTTTTTCCTATCATTTCCTAAGAACCAAATCCTTAATATTGGTATAAAACATGATGTTAATTACTCAACCAATCATGTTGAGTACTTTTGTTGCTAGTTATTACTACTATTAGTTGTTTTATGGTTTTTGTGTTGCTTATGTTATTAAATCCACTTTCTCTAGTTATAGCCTAATGCTTATCCATTATTTTTTTTTTGGTATTGAATTAAAAACCCAAGGTACTAGTCATTGTTACCTGCTTAGACTAACACTTTGACAAGGTATCAAAATCTTCTTTATAATTGGAATTATGGAATGTGTTTGTCTTTTATTGCTTGCTATTAAAAGGTAATATTTGTTTGGACTTTTATTATCTTTGAATTTTAGTTTTAAATTTTAAATAAGCTTCTTTTGCTGGTTGTCTTTTTCAAATTAACATCTTTATAGGCTTGTTTCTCACACAGGTCTATGTCTAACTTAACTGTAACTGGTAGGTTCTTGCAGAATCTAGAGGAGACCTCTTACCTGATCCTCAATTTGATGGCATCAACATTATAGCTCTTGGTTTTCAGAATGATAGTGATTCTATTGTTGAAGTTCTAGTTCTTTTACACAGTAAATTTGTGTCTTGTCAGAGGTATGGTGATGTCTCTTTGTATTCCCATTCTCTTTCTTGATTGGTTTTCTATTGTTGACAAATTTTGTACATTCGCATACACTATATCTCTTACAGGAGGATCACATTTAAAAAAATTGCTGTTCTTATTCTTTATTGGTTTGCAGAAGTTTTGATGGTGTATCTGGCTTTAAAATATTGGTCTTCAGTGATGAGAAGCTATTGTTAAAAGAATTTATAAAGATTGTGTCTTCATCTGACCCAGATATTTTGATGGGTTGGGATATTCAAGGGAGTTCTCTTGGTTTTCTAGCAGAAAGAGCATCACATATTGGTTTAGGATTACTTAATAATCTGTCACGCACTCCATCTGAGTCTTTGATTGCTTCTGAAGATACGAAAACTTCTGAAAAAGATACCTTGGAGCTGGACATTCATGATACCCCTAGTCTAGATTGTTGTGTGCCAGAAAATTCAATAATTGAGGATGAATGGGGACGGACACATGCTAGTGGAGTTCATGTAGGAGGCAGAATTGTCCTTAATGTATGGCGATTGATACGAGGAGAAGTTAAGCTGAACTTATATTCAGTTGAAGCTGTAGCTGAATCTGTATTGAGGCGGAAAATTCCTTCATTTCACCACAAAGTGCTGACAAAATGGTTTTCAAGTGGTCCTGGACGAGCAAGATATCAGTGTATCAAATATGTTATAGAGAGAGCAAAGCTGAACCTTGAGATTTTAAACCAACTTGATTTGGTAAGGTAGCATTATAGGCTTATTGCCAAAATAAAGATTTTCTTAACTACTGTTATAGTGCAAATAGATTGGGCTCTTGTTATGGCTACAATTTTACCAGAATCTAGTCTTGTTTGGGTGCATTGAAATCTCAAAATTGTTTTTGCAATTATGTACAAGTAATTTTGAAGTTTCTGATAAGTTATTTTAAGCTTCTCTCTTTAAAGCTAATGAATGATTAAAGAAGTAATAAATGTGTTGAAAGGGAGAGAAAAAGTGAGAAACGTATGGTGAAATCTGTGTCTCAATTACCCAGTGGAAGCTTTTACTTAGAGAGTCATAAATACAAAGAATAACTGTTACCCTAATTACCATAAATGTACATGAAAAATCATGATATTCCCTGTTTGCAATATTTCTATTTGTGTTCATGCAATCCTGTGTTTCATTGGATTCCTTAATTAGATTTGTACTTCTTCCAGTAACGTTTACATTTTCTTCACTAATTTGCAGGCTTTCCTTATTTCTTGTTTATTTTTCTTATGCAGGTGAATCGAACATCAGAACTTGCTCGTGTGTTTGGCATAGAGTTCTTCTCTGTTCTGTCTCGAGGATCACAATACCGTGTTGAATCCATGTTTCTGAGGTTGGCCCATACACAAAACTATCTTGCTATCTCACCTGGAAATCAACAGGTTCTCACAAAATTCCCTTTTTATACACAAAACTTATCATGAACCAAGCATAACAAGATTTTATAAAAGTGCTGTCCAGACTCCAGTGTATGATGCTCTCTCCTGGTGGGGCCTGGGGAAAGTAAATGTACCCAGCCTTACCTTTCCTAGCAGAGTGGATATTTTTAGATTTTAAACCTGTGACCTTATATCACAAGACAGCAACCTGACTGTAGCTCCCTAAGCATAATAAGTTTGTACTCTGTAATATTAGTATGGAGGTCTTTTCCCTATCTGGACAGTGTTGAGTTAAACTCTGTAACATTTTCATTGTTCATCCTCCTAACATGATTTAATTTGTGATATATGATTTTGCAGTATTCTGTTATTTAATTTTTCGTACAATTTTTTTATTTGTTCTATTTCTTTTAGATGATGTTCTTACAACCAAGAAATATTATTTTATAAACTGGTTCTCTTTGACACAAGGAAGAAATAGATCTTAAACCTAAGAAAAAGGATACAGGTTTTAGTAAGATGTTCAAACAGAATTTCACCAACCTTTCCTCTGCAGCCACAGCCAACTCTCCCAAGTTTTTTCTTCCTCATCTATACCCAAATAAAAAAGCACTCATAATTTAAAGAGGGGGAAAATGGAGGTTCTGTAAATTTATAGTTCAGAGCATACGATGCATGTCTACTACTAATATTGAATACAATAGGACATTCATGTTGAACCTGCCATTTTCTCTCCTCATTTTCTAGATGTGTTATTTTAGTTATGAGAAAGAAGATTGGGTGTGATAAATAAAAAATTTCAACAATAAAATGTTCTTGGGTGGGTTTTGTGTTCAGTGCATCATGAGGTTACTCATCCAATCATTTTGTTTAGTAAGTTCTTATCTCTATCAACGTTTGTATTCTTTATTCACCCATTGAAACAGTTTTGATGCATTGTTCAAATTATCAAGTTGTGCCTTGTTTTTTGTTATTCTGAAGCTTTTTAATGTATTTCTTCATCACCTGTATCCAAGGCTTAATAACTCATTTTTGTCTTATCTAGGTTGCTTCTCAACCTGCCATGGAGTGCCTTCCTCTAGTAATGGAACCGGAATCTGGATTTTATTCAGATCCTGTTGTTGTGCTTGACTTTCAGTCTTTATATCCATCCATGATAATTGCATACAATCTTTGCTTTTGCACTTGTCTCGGTAAAGTTGTGGGATCAAAGGCCAATACACTTGGCGTTAGTCCATTCTCACCAGAGCAACATGTTCTGCAGGAGTTAAAGGATCAAATTTTGCTCACTCCAAATGGTGTTATGTTTATACCTTCCAAGGTGATTCTGTCTATATTTTTTCTTTTCCTATTCTCTAACACTTTTTATATTTTGAAGTCCTGGACTTAATATTAATGAACTGAATGAGTGTCATAGATTTGACAGAACTGTAAATTGTGGAGCTAGTTTCTCATAGCTGATTATTCGCTCAATATTTTATTTTTCTGTTGAGTAGCCTTAAAAATCTTGACCACTCTCTTCCATCTCCTATTTAATTAATTGAAACACACAGATGAAAAATTCTTAAACTTAATATTTTAATGGACCTGAATAAATGACATATATTTGCAGAACTAATTAATGAAAGTTTAGATTGTTTTTATCTTTCAGTTTCATGTATTGTTGCAAGTAACTTTGTGGAAAAGATGAAATAACTTTAATCTGTACTGGACTGTGTCATACAGGTTAGAAAAGGTATACTGCCCCGCTTATTGGAAGAAATCTTGACAACTAGAATTATGGTAAAACAAGCAATTAAGAAATTGGCTCCTTCAGAGAAAGTTCTTCAGCGGGTATGGATGTGAATTGGAATTGAATGTCTTTTCATTCTGCCCAGTGTTTGTTTATATGAGTTTAAATGAGTTTAAATGTCCAGAATCTATGCTTTTTGTTGTATTATGTAATATTTATTGCTCGGACTTTCCAAAAGAAAACACTAAATTATGATTGTTGTAATCTGGATGATTTTCTGAAAACTTCCAGATTTAAAAAAATAAAATGAAAAGATAAATTTTATAAAATATTCCAACCAAATGCATGCTAAATAATTTCACCTTCATCAGTTGATGAATTTACTTATACCTGCTGTGTGTGATGAAGGATATGATTCTTTTATTTCCGCAATTTAAACATTTAAATAGAATTTACCCAGTAATATAATTATCTTTTCAGATATTTAATGCGAGACAGCTTGCTTTAAAGCTCATAGCAAACGTAACATATGGTTACACGGCTGCTGGATTTAGTGGTCGCATGCCCTGTGCAGAACTTGCAGACAGTATTGTTCAGTGTGGCCGTAGTACATTGGAAAAGGCTATATCATTTGTAAATCTACATGAAAAGTGGAATGCTAAAGTTATTTATGGAGATACTGATAGGTAACTAAGTACCATGTGTAATTAGAGTAAATTATAATAATGTCTCCTGAGGTTTCCCTAAAGCGTGCTCAGGTCTCCTATTTTGGAAGTTCACTGATCTTCATTTTCAATTTTTTACTTTTAACAAATCCTGAAGTTAGTATGATTTTAGTAATTGAATTAGAGGGATCTGTTTGGAAGAGGAGAATTAGGTTTTTTAAAAACCTTCAAATCTGAGCTCTGCTAAAATTAGGAAATAAATAAAGGTTAAAATGAAGATATTCCACATGAAAATTACATAAAATCTCCTGTTGTCTTACAATTTTTCTTTGTCATTACATGTGCCAAAGATGTTTGTTTGCTAACATTTACATACTTGTGAAGTCACTTTTTTTATCATAAGTCATTTCTTTGAAACTCATGTTTGTTCCTTCTGCATTAAATATTTTCTAACAGCATTTACATACAGTTTGGCTGTGGTTTCTGTAACAGCATTTTGACATACTACCATCTCATTCCCTGATGATGATTTTTTATTGTGTAATGTAATGATTAGTAAAGTGGCAGGGCTGTAATTAAAAAAACTATTAAAGTAACTGTATTTTCTGCAGTATGTTTGTCCTCCTTAGTGGACGCACTGTCAAAGAGTCTTTCCAAATTGGGAGTGAGATTGCATCTGCTATCACTGCTATGAATCCTAACCCTGTCACCCTGAAGATGGAGAAAGTTTATCACCCATGTTTTCTCCTTACTAAGAAACGATATGTTGGCTACAGTTATGAAAGTCCTCATCAATTTGAACCTGTATTTGATGCTAAAGGTATTGAGACAGTACGCAGGGACACATGTGGTGCGGTTGCAAAGATAATGGAGCAGTCTTTGAGACTCTATTTTGAACAACAGGATTTATTAGAGGTATAACTACTAGCAGATTGCATCTTTATGTATACATCACATTGAAAGTAATAGTTGTTCAAAAATTGTTAGGGAGATAGAAAATGAGAAACATGTGATGAATTCCCTGTGTCAGTTACACAGCGGAGCCTATTATATAATATATATATATATATATATATATATATATATATATATATACATATATATATATATAACAGGTGTCATAAAACTCAAACTATAACTAACTACTACCCTAATTATTGTCAATGTCTCTCTATTTTTGCACAAGTTGAGACACTCCCCCATCTCATTCATCCTACTTGAATTTTATGGTTTGCACCTCCCTCTATTTCTTTGTTGTCCTGAGATACTTAAGCCATGCTACTTTCTGGCCAAATTTTGTGGGGTGGAGTTTGAATGTGTTTATAAGTTATTCCACTTTTTTTGCTGCTACATAGTGTGAATCTGGTGCATTTCGTGCTCATGTATTGGATGTGTATTCACAAATCCTGGTTTTGTGAAAATATTGTAATGGAATCTATCTTAGTGAAAACTCTATATTCTAGATCCTACTCTTTGATTTATGTCCTTTAATTTCCCTTTGTACAAGTTATGCCTTAGTTAGAAGAAATCATTCAGAGAAACAATAGAATTCCAACTATTTGTGCTGGATACACTTAATCTGATCTGAAAATTAAAATATTAGTTTCATCTGAATTCATGCGTGTTAAAGAAGTGAAAGGAAAAACAGAGACACAACAGGCAGAAACCCATGTTTGATGACACCAGTGATTGGTACATTAAATACAAATAATTTGAGGGTATACAGTTTCCTCTAGATCAGAGATTTTGTTCCCTATACACCACTATACAATAAATGTAGAATATTCATACTAATTTCAACCTTGCTTAATACTTTTTATTTGCTACCTGCAGGTAAAGACTTATTTGCAACGTCAATGGAAGAGGATTCTTTCAGGCAAATTTTGCCTTAAAGATTTTATCTTTGCAAAGGAGGTTCGCATGGGTACCTACAGTACGAGAATGTCATCACTTCCTCCTGCTGCAATTGTGGCCACTAAGGCGATGAGGGTTGACCCTAGGGCAGAACCCCGATATGCTGAGAGAATACCTTATGTTGTAATCCATGGAGAGCCTGGAGCCCGCTTGGTTGATATGGTTGTGGATCCATTGGAAGTTTTGGCAATTGATTCCCCATTTAGAATAAATGATTTATATTACATTAATAAGCAAATAATACCAGCTTTACAACGGGTATTTGGGCTTGTTGCTGCTGACCTGAACCATTGGTTTTCAGAGATGCCCCGCCCCACAAGGGAAGCTTCTGCAAAGCATAACTTAACTTCAAATTCCCATCGAACCAGAATTGATTATTACTATCTTTCAAAACATTGTGTATTATGTGGTAGGTTGGTCCAGGCATCAGCCCGTTTATGCAATCAATGCTCTGAAAATGAAGTCGCCGCCGCAACAGCAGTAATTAGTAAGACTTCGAAGTTAGAGCAAGAGATGCAACATCTTGTTGCTGTAAGTATATTTGCATGTTTTTCATCAATTGTTCATTGATTGTGTAGGTCTAGCTCTTTTTATTTCTCTTGCTAATGGGATTCTTTGTTTTATTTCACACGCGGAGGAAATTTGCTGGGTATGATAGGCTGTTGATTACGTGGCCTAGTTTCTAGTTTTGTTTTACTTGGCTTAGTTTCTAGTTTTGGTTTATGTTGATTTTCCAGTTATGCTATAGCGGTTCAAGTTTGTTGGAAGTGTTTTATATATGAACTGCCTTGTTACTTTTGGTAGATCCCTTGGATTTGATGCTTTGTGATATTTTCTTTTTTGCTCTGTTGATAGTTTTTTTTTTTAATTCTTGTAGATATGTCACCATTGTGGAGGCGGGGATAGCCTTCGTGAAAGTGGTGTGAAATGCACGTCCATGTCATGCTTGGTGTTCTATGAGAGGAGGAATGTTCAGAAAAAACTGCTAGCTGCCACCCAGGTTGCTGCAGATAAAGATTTGTATCCGAGATGCAGTGTGGAATGGTTCTGAAAACTTGTTTTGCTTGCTAGTATAAAATTTTCCTGCACAAGATGGTAAAAATATCTCCATTTTGTGTTAAACCCAAATCAAACTTGTATATTTTGTAATGTTGTAATTATTCAGGTATAAAGTTAAGTTAATCCCGCGGACGTACATTCAGCAGCGCCGTAATAGTTCGATTTTTTTTTTATAATTTTCGTTCATCAACGTATATGGTGTTTATTCGGGCGTTTATGTGCTCTGCATTCTGCACACAACCATCGAGTGCATATTTTGAAGATTTTTCTCTACAAACAACTTTTTGGCTGAAAATTCAGCTATTAAATATGTTGAAATGTTTCCGTAATCATATTCAGTCTGATAAGAAAATAGATTTTAGATTACTTTTAAAGAACATATTTACAAAATTTTAACAAATTGTAAGCTAGAACAACTGTTTATTGAGAACGGTCGTTTATCTTCTACGAGAAAAAAATATTTGAATAATATTAATGATACAAAATGATAGTATGTGAAATTGTACGATTATATGTGAATTATTAAATTTAAATCAAAATGTATTTAAAGTAAAAAAAATTACCATATCATTTATTTATGGTCTGAGTTATATTAATAAAATTGTTAATTTTAGTAATAATTTTGGCTATGTAGTCAGTAATATGTTCTTTTTACGTTAATGGTGCATTAAAATTAAAATTATCATTAAAAAGAAAATGCTGGACGCAGCTGAAGTGTGTTTTCCTCCCACTCTCTTGTTTATAGAATTTATGTCAAAAAAACTTAATTTAAGTTTATGTATAAATTAAATTCTAATTTACTTTTTATATTTGGCTCTCATTGTTAGAGTTGAAACCATTTCTATATTTGGTGTAATAATATAACAAAACTACTATGTATTATTTATGCCTGTTGTCATAAAAAATAAATTTAACTTCAAAGTGTACAATTTGAGCTGTATTTTTTAACCTTTAAATATTGACAATATTCTTGTTACTTAATTTGAGGTAAAATAGATAATTTTAACAATTAAAAGTTATAAATTATTATTCATAAATTTTAATGAAATAATTCTAATGGTATATTCTAAATTTACGCATAAACTTTTTAATTTCAAAATTATTCGTCTGAATCAATTATCATTCTCAATACAGGTTAACTAATTAGTAAAGTTGTTAAAAATGGCTAATTAAATCAATAAAGATATAATTTATGATTCAAAAATTCAATTAAAGTTGATTGAGTTTCAATCATGTTTAATCAATATAATAATATAATTTTATATTTTTTAATGATATATTAAATACAAAATAATTATTAGTAATTATTAATCTTAAAAATAAACTACATTAATAATTATAGAGAAAGTTATAGACGCAACATAGTAGAAAATAAAAGATCTAATGTTAAAAAAAGAGATGAAAATTCAGGAAAGATAATCTGGACATGAACAGATGAGATAAAAAAAAAGTTTTATTTTCTTTAAAAAATTAAACATTTAGAAAAATCTATAAACTAGTTGTACTTTTTTTATTTTTTAACCTAACTGCTTTTTCCTTTCGGTGCTAATTCAAAACCAATCCTATTTTTTTCAAGAATAACACATCAATGTCGGAATTAATATTCATTTAAACGTTTTGAACAGTAGGATCCTATCTAGTTTTGATAATATTGATTACAAATTAGCTAAGTTTACATATTAGAATTGAGGATATTACATAGGGTTCAGAGGATAATAAAAATAAAATTATAATAACGTGTTTCATATTATACACTCTGAATAAAATAAAATAGTTTTCATATTACAGTCTCATGAATAACTATTTTCTAAGAACATCGAAATATTATAATTAATCCATATAAGTTAATAATTAATATTTTATATTTCTTAAGTTAAAAAAAAAGAAAAAAAGAGAGAGAGAGAGTTACAGAGTAGTAGGGTTTAAGGTTTCTGGCAGAGAGTGTCCACGGAGGTTTAAAGTTTGCAGTGGAACACATAACACTCATAATCCCAATCGCAACACTGTTGCGGTCTAAGCAATGGCTTATGGTTATGGTGCTTTCTCTCTTTTACTAACCAGACGCCTTCATCTATCTTCTTCCCTACACCCTAAACCCTGTTTTTCACTCTCTCACCTTCTCACCAAACCTTTCTCCACGACCCCACCAGACCCTAACCCTAATCCCAAACCTTCTTCCCTCTCCGCCCGTCTCAGCTTCGTCTTCGATCAAATTGATGCCATCGAAAAAGAGCGTTCTCAGAAGCACGAAACGCTTCAGCGCATTCGAGCCTGGCGCCAATCCAAGGATGCTCCCCCTCAAAACGAATCCCAACCGGAGCCGGCACTCTCCCTCCCCGATGAAACCCCCCCGGAGCCGCCGCCGAAGAAGGCGGTGGAGCTGGTGCACCCGTGGCCTGAGTGGATCCAGTTGATGGAAGTGCTCGTGCACCAGAATTACTTCGACCATAGAAGGAGGGACGAGGATAAAATGGTCCACGACTTAGGGTTCGATCCGCCCGAGGTTGCTGAAGGAATCGATTTTACTAAGGATTTCAAGAGCGTTCACATGGCGTGTCTCAATCTCGGGAGAGACCGTTTTGATATATTGAGGTTTGTGCAGCCAAGTTTGTTGAATTCGTTTTAGTGATTGAATGGGTTAGGTTATGCAACAGAGTGACAATTGTGATTGAAGGTTTTACATTGTTTAAGATAGTGTTATTGTGAAAGCCAATAATATTTTTACAAGACAATTTCTGTTTGATTGACATTGTATAAACGCATTATGCTATGAATGAATGTACTATTTTCTCATGAGAATATTGTAGCTGTTACTGATGACTTTATTTTGTTGAGGAATATGTCTATGGGGAGATGCTATGCGCTACAATGATGAAACCTTAGATGATTGATTTCAGGTCCTTGTCGAGGAAGGATATTCAAGTTTTGGTTGGTTATGGATGCCCCACTGTGGACAGAAAAGTGGTTTTCTCTGCAAAACTTTTAAGAAAGCATGTTCACCTTGATGAGGGAGATGTAAGTGTAGCACGATTTGTTTGGTGCCAGATATAACTGTTAATTTTTTTAATCGTTGTGTGAAGTGAAGGAAAGTTATGATTGAGGCAATTCAACCAACTCTACATGCTGGGACGATATTCAAATTAGTATCTGTGTGCCTGTATTTGCTGTTGGCAGCAAAGAAACTTTTTTTCTCTTCCTACATTCTTTTTATTCCTCTCCTACTTCTGCATATATGTCACATTGTCTCATTCTTTGTTAGATTCCCTTTACATCTCTCATAGTTGTCTCATTATTTAATCCGAACCACATGTTACTCATTATTTAAATAATGTGTTGTGTAATTTTGATGAGAAATTCATTGATATCAGGTCTGTAGTTCCTGCAGCTTGAGAAACAATTGTGAAAGGGCATATCTGCTAACAAACAAAGAGGATGAGGCACGAACTCTTGATGTCATGCGGCTTCTGCTCACATTTGGTTTTGATCCTGTTGATGGTTCAGTCATCAATAAGTCACTTTTTAAGCAGAAGTCTGTGAAAACAGTGGTTCGTAAATTGCTTCATGAGGTTGTCAAGCTGAGCTCAGTTCCCATTGATCCAAATCTCCCCCCTCCTGTGATTAAAAAACTACCCCCAAAAGTGAAACAACCACCTCCTCCCCCCAAGAGACGAATAGGACGGGATGATGTTGAGATGAAAAAGGGGGACTGGCTATGTCCTAAGTATGTACCTGAATCTTTCTGATTTATTTGCTATACAATCACAGTTTTACAACTGGCCTGTGACCACTGTCAGTTTCAAGTGAATTTCCATTTGAAAACCTTATTCTTTTTTAACAAAAATTTATTATGCTTAGTACTCCACTTTTAACAATAATATCATTCCTATTGTTCTTGCCTTCCTCCTTCTGGTAATTGAATATATTGGATTAGACTAGGAAATAAATTGTGTATGAATAAGTCGTTTTAGGATGACATCACCATATATTATTTGATTTTTATTGCTGTTGACTGAACATACTGCTGTACACTTCTTAGGTGTGAATTCATGAATTTTGCAAAGAATACTGCTTGCTTACAGTGTGATGCCAAGCGTCCCAAGAGACAGTTGCTGCCGGGGGAATGGGAGTGTCCCGAGTAAGTTTGAAGTCCTTCAATTTTGCCATTAAACTTCACTGTTATTGCTCAAATCCCTTCCGTTTCTTTCTCTATCACATATATGCGGTAATTTGTAGCCAGCAACTATAATGATCATATCTGAAGTTTAGGACATCAGTGTGAAAAGCATGGTGTTGTGATATAATTACTGCTTATAGCATGCAGAATTATGTTTATCAAACTTTGTAAGGGTTATGTGACCCCTGAAGCTTCTGTTACTTATTTAGCTTGACTTGTTTATTTCTTATCCGGCAGGTGCAACTTCTTGAATTACAGGAGGAACATGGTATGCTTTCATTGTGAATGTAAACGCCCACCTGATGAATTTCTGGAGAATAAAATGCAAGATAGAATACAAAGTTCCAAACCTAAGTTAGATAAGATGGGCAGCCGACAAGAGGTTTTCAATGCCTGGAATTTTGACTTTGATGACAATGAATCAGATGGTGCAGATGTGGCTGCTTTTGAGTATGCAGATCCGCATGCCATACATGAAGAATACCCTTCACATAATAATGCTCAACATGGAAATCATAGAGGGTGGGAAGATAATTTTGCAAAGAACAACAGAGTGCAAGGATCCCCTGATGGAGAATATGCTACTCCTGATTTTTATAAACCTGGAATAGGGTTTGATGATTTTGAGGATGAGGATGATATTGATAGTTATGAACTAGAAACTACTCAAAATAGTAGTAGAAGAATGGAAACATCTAAACATGATTTATCGGAAGATGAAAACTGGTCAGAATCAGAAGATAATGGAGGCAGTGATCATAAAAGGTACTCGAGACACAAAACAACTCCTCAAAGAGGTGTACAGTCCCGGTCATTTCGCAAGAATACCTTCTCTGGATCTGAGGATGATAAACTTGATTTTGTTACTGATGAACAACGGTCCACTCTTTCTAATTTCAAATCTAGGAACGTTTCTACCACTGACAGAAGAAGAAATGCCAGAGGTCCATCTAAGAAATTAAGCTATGGTTCTGAATCTGAGGATGACAGTGGAGCTGGCTTATACTCTGATGAGGATGATGATTTGCATGAGGCATATTCATTCAGAAAAAATAATGGAGACAGATTTAATCCATCCAGACAAACTAAGGGGGATAGGCACGATTCTGGGAGAAGAAACTTCACCAAAACCCGGAAGTCGGGATCTTTTGGTGGTCGCCGAGAAAATATGTTTAGTGATGATTTTGATGGATCGTCCCAGCAGTATTACAAGAATAGTAGGAGTTCTAAGGGAAATGGCCGTAATAGGAATGGTTTTGAAGATTTTGATGGTCCCTCTCGAGGATCATTTGGTGATGGCAGAGGGTCCCGAGGAAGAAACGATCATGGTGGATCATCCCGGGGGTCTTTTGGGAATGGTAGAGGGTCTCGAGGAAATGACCGTAGTGGGCAGAGATTCAAAGATAGGGAGCATGGCGCGGGACGGTTAAATAAATATAGAATGGACGAGAAGGATTCTGGGGAATTTAGAAACAGTAGGCGTGTAATTGAAAGATAGTGCCACAACTCCATGAACAAATTTGTGTTGCTCAATTCGGTGATGCACGTAAATACTGCTAATTGCCAAACACAAACCTCTAATTCTTGGTTAAATTTGCTTGGAATGACTGGAAAGTTTAAGCCATGGAAAAACTTCCATCCAATTTATCAAACCTAGTTCTTGACTTGGTTAGGACTATTCAGTTAGGCCATTTAGTTATGGCTTCGATCTTAAAATTTTCGCCTAGAGTTATGGGCTCTGCTACGCAGTAATAATCTAAGGATCGTGAATAAGCGCCACAACCCTTACATAACATATTTGTTCCATCGATTGCAGTCTCGTCTTAATGACCTCTCATAAAAAATACTGTAAGTAAGCAATGCCTTTTTGATAATCAGTGGTTAAGGCAATATTACTCTGCGGCTATTTCTGTTCCGTTGATAGAACATATATTAATGGTTTAAGCTAATTCTATTCCCATTGAAACCACACTAACTATTAATTAATTGGTTAAAGTTAAGGTATTCCAACCTTAACTTATAAAGAAAGTTTTTTATGCATTTTCTTAATCATTGTTATTTTTCAAATAAATTCTACCCAAAACCCTAATGATTTTTGAGCAAAAAAAAGTAAGATTGGATTTCCCTTGGCCTTTGAAAAGCAAAGGTAACTTGATCTATCTTAAAACTAATTCCACAAACGTTATTTTAAAATAATTATCACTATACATGCATTGGTAAAAAGAAACTCAATAACAAAACTTCAAGAAGTTTTGTAGCTGTGACTGTGGAAACACACACTATCAAAGATATTTTTAATCCCTTAATTTGGTATAATTCTTTTTTATAAAATTTGATCCTAAAAAAGAGAACATAATTATGATGGGAGAAAGTTACAACAACAATTTTAGAAAAATATTAATGCATTAGAATAAGATATCTCGCACTTAAAAAATTGTGAGAAGTATCAATAAAAATAGAGCACGAACAATAAAAAGAAGACATGAGATACAATCAAAACAAAATAAACAGTATTACTTGCAACTAAGAAAGAAGATGAAAAATACTAAAGACAATGTTGTTACTACGAACAACTTTGTTTCTAGTCCAGACATTCAATCGATAATCCATTCATTGAAAACGAAAAATCACCCTCTTCTCCAAAAATCAGCGTGATTGATCAGTGAATAAATTTTCAATTGAATTTTGAAAAACTATATGATAGATATGAAAAAATTAATATGATTTATCTTCTTCTCTTTGATTGTTGCTAGTGATGAGTCTCTCACACTTCACACATTCACCTTTAGTCCAACTTATCTCCATTTCTTTGATTGTTGTTCTATTCTATGTGATGAGTCTCTCAGACACCCTTAGTCCGACTTATCTCCATCTAAACAAGTATTTAAGAAGAAATCATAAAAAGTTAACAAATCTCCCCCTCACAACTGCATGGAGATGAGATTTTAGATTTTAGATGGAAAGAAATATGATCTATTATATATGTCTTAGCTTGTGACATATTAATGAATATATATTTTACGTTTATTTTCTCAAAATTTAACCTTAAATAACTTTAAAAATCTAATATGCTATTAAAAATTAAAAGAAAAACATTCTCTTTATATTCGTCTTGAATACTCAAAATAATAAAAATAATAATAATAATAATCACTAGTATCATTTATATTATTTCCAGGCATTTTTCTAAATAATATATATATATATATATATATATATATATTAATAAAGTTAGTTAACATTTTTCTACTTTTATTTTATAAATGTTTTCTAAATTACTGTTCATTAAATAGTTAAATTAACTAATATGTAATTAGTTTGAGTAAAATAGAACTTAAATTTCTTAATAAGGCACTCAAACCTTATGAATAGAAAAAATAATAATTGAAGGACAATTTTATCAAAAGCTATTAGGCATATTTTCTTAGGAAAATTAGTTATCAGTGAAATTGGTGGATAAATATGTCAATGTTATAGTAACTCAAACAATAGAGTCAAATTAATTGAAATTTATTTATATTTTAGTCAATCATATGTGAAACTTTTATTGCTGATTTTGAGTTAGAAAAAACTATACTTTTTAACTATGAATACATTGGCAAGGGATAGTAGACCATCTTGTCGAAAATGTTAGAAAGTGGACAATTTCTTACCATTCCAAATGATGGATAGAGTGAAGAATCCATGATCAGTTTAAGTATATCATAGGAGGGAAGGCAAAGACTTCTTGGCAAAAGTTAAGAAATTAGGAATCTAAATACGTCAACAAGTCTTTTTAAGGTATATTTTGAAACTTCTTCCATGTTTACTTGTTTAAGAACATTTCTTTCTACCCTCTTAAAAAATCAAGACATGCCCCCTTTTATTCTAGAAAGGATAGTACAAAATATAACTAGACTAATAAGGTAGCCAAGTACAGATTATAGAATAAAGACTTGAAATATAATTGGACTTCATATTGCATTTGAGCATGAAAGAAAACTTTTTTACCCCCCTGGCATAACCCACTACCCTCTTCACTTTCATACCAGTGAAAGTGGATCTCTTCATACTGTAGAAGTTTAATACTTTAATAAACTCAGAGTCATCAGAATATTGAATATTTTCAAAGACAGACCAAACATTTTGCTCCTTAACCCAACCTCAAACCCAGAACAACCCCGCCAAGTTGAGAGTGATGATGCTTGGATGAAGGATCTAAAGCTATTTGCATGATAGGGAATGAGAATTGAAATAGAAGAAAAGAGGATCAACGGTCTGAAACTAATGAAAAAGAGATAGACAATGTTAACTTTTAAAATTAACAAGTTATTGTGATAAGAAAATAAATTCGCTTTAACACCTCTTTTTGCTTTGTATTTATTTTTTCAAGACAATAAAAACAAATGTAAATATATATATATATATATATATGTGTGTGTGTGTGTGTGTGTGTGTGTATGTTGGAGGTTTTAAATTCTATGTAACCAAGTAAAATTCAGTAAAAGAAAGTTAAGAAGTGAAAGTGATAGAGATATGGAAAAAGAAGAGGCTTTAAGTTACAAGGATACACAATGAAGCATGGGGTGGTGCTGCATAGGGCTATATAATTCATCTTTTCCTAGTATTTATTTATGTTTGCACAGTTTCTCCTTGATTTCTATTAGCACTGGACACATGTATTGCAAATGTGCCGGCACACAGGAGAAACGATTTAGTTGAGATTTTTTAAAGAGAAAAACGATCCTCAATTTACAGAATTTTCTCTCAAGTTTCTTCTATCCTAAATAAAAAAGCATAGGAAGGGAACAGCACCAGGGAAGGCTTGGGATAGCAGCTGAGAAAAGCAGAGCAAATAGGAAAAAAGGAGTCCCTTCACATCACAACCAGCCTAACAAGAATCTGAACACATCACTTAAAGAAATAACTCCTTCCACACGCTTGCTGCCAGCCTCCACAACCACAAGTCTCCTAACCCCTGTAAAGAGAAGCAATTCGGTGAACAAAGAAGCTATTATCATTTTTTACCCTTTCCCTTCTTATAATAATAAGTAAAGAAACAATACCAGGATTAGACAACCGCTCCATCACTTTGTGCAACGAATCAGATCTCAGACACATGTGACATCTGTGACCGTTGTAAAGCCCATAAGGAGAATTTGCGTCTTGTCCCAAAAGCAATGCCTACAACCCATGAGTGCAAGCAAATATTTAGATCCAAATTCTGTAACAAACAAAACCAAACAAATGTACTACCACGTAGTAGTCACCTGGTGAATGCTAATTTCATCCAGAGATGTCCGAGCATATGCTTTATCTTTAGCCAAGGCCGTAATATCGCTGAGAGGGAAATAATAGGCATATTTCATATAGGCTTGAGGAAACCTTTCAAAGTAAACGTACGAAAATCATCATACACACGGGACAAAATGGGGAGAAAAGAAATACTACCTTCTTGAATAAATGTCAAGTAATGAATCATTGTCATCCACAATAGGTATTGAGCTAACCTTAGCTGCAGCAAAAAGAGTAGATTTGCTAAAAACAATGTAAATAGGGTAATTATGTGTTATACTATATTATTATGTAATTATGGTAATAACTAGAAAGGGTAACAATAAACCCATCTGTTCATTGCTTTCAGTATAAATAAAATTTCTGCTATATAATAGTCACAGATTCTAATATACCTCTCTGTTCTCTCTCAGCAATATTCACATAATATGCAATTCCTCTCACTTTTGCAACGCTATCAAAAATATGTTAGGATCCAACCGCAAGGTATTGGACTCGAGTAAAGTCCCACATCAGAAGTACGGGATTATAGTGTGGGGTTTATAAAAGGCTAGCCTCTGTCGTGTGACACGGGTGCGAGTCCCAGATCATAACTTACTACATACTATATATATATATATTCAATTCCCATGGCCTCTGTAAAAGCTATTTCCCAAATGTTATCCATCTTACCAAAAAATATTAACAATCATAAATATTTTCATGAAATGACGCTTTAAAAAGTCCAAATGAAACACGGTGTGTACTATACGGATCAATCAAACTTAAGTTTTTTATGTTTTCAGAGTCGAGTCCCAACATGTAATATTTGTCAAACAAATTTTTGTTTCTATTGGTTAGTGCACAAAGGAAAGAATACTTTAGGAGTGCATTTGAGGTCGGGCACAAAAAGTTTGTAGGGAAAAAAAACCATAACTCAGCCAATCAGAAAAGTTTGTAGGGGAAAAGACCATAACCCAGCCAACCAGAACAAACACCTTGTTAACTTCACACAGAAGAATGATCACCTTCAACAAACATTGACAGAGCAGCACCAAGAGAAGCACTTGGTCTCAGCATTGCTAGTGGCCGTCCATTTGGTTCCCCAACTGTAGGCATCCATGTACCCAAAGGTATTGAACCTACTGGAAGTTGAAGAATGGGCAAAGAACTCAAGGAGTGCTTAAAATGTCTGCATATACCTGAAAAATTGACTCCATACATCAATTCCAAGTCTAACATCCATACCATTTGCTTATCTACTACCAATTAACCAGAAGCTTACCTTTCAGTATTCCTGATAGGGAAGCAAGATGTAGCAGTTGAGGAAATGAACCATCCTCTGAAGAAGAATGGATGATAGGGATGGTTGACACCTTGTTTTGCAAAATCTTAAGAGCCACATCTTTTAGACATTCATGGGGTCCGGCCTAGCAAAAAAATCCAATCATGAAGACTCAAGCTCACCTCCTGCCCTCTTATAGATGAAGAGGAAATCTAGAAACATAATCAGAATGAAGTGCTAAACTAGTATGCATTTTCTTCAACATAAAATATTAAATCATCATTGTATATCAAAATAAACCTAAATATTTATATTAAACAAAATGGTTAACTAGTATAGAACAAAAAGAGAAACAGATAATTGAGAGAAACAATGAACACTCTTAACAATTTCATCCCACCATATGAGGTTGGCTATATGGATCACACCACCATAGGACTTCGTTAAAGACCAAATCATTAGGGATATTATTCAGCATGAGATCACTCTCAACAAACTTCTCAATTGTCCTTCCAGGTCTTGCTCTCCCCAGTTTCACAGGTAAACACAATGCAATCTACTTTCCTCACTAGAGCTTCTAGTTTTAACTTGAGAAAGGGGAAAACTCTCTACAGTATAGTCACTTTTTAGCTTCAGCAAAAAGGACATCCAAAAACTAAACTGGTAGAAAATATCTATTTGGCTTGACCAACTATAAGATCAATAAAAGTCCAAAAATATGGACATAATATCTAGAAAAAGTCTTAATCTGTTAATGTAGCTCCACTCTTGACTTCTACTGAAGCCTCAGATTCTAAAATACTGCACAGCAATACTTAGGTTTCCTAGAGCCAGCAAAGGACCCCAAGCAAGGCCCAAAAGAAAGATCAGTAAGCCCATTTGGATGGAGAATTTCTTTAATTAGGTCCATGTGTAATTAAATATCATTTCCACCTGCTATTATGAACCTCACATGTTTAGGCTGTAGATTTTCAGGCCAATGAGCGTTAGTCGTAATAAAGGCTACCCAACTTGTAACAATACATGAATAGTATTTTTCTTTCTCTATTTAGATTTAACTTAGGCCTGACTTATTCAACATAGTATCTGACTATCACAGCCATAACAGCATCCATCACATACTACAAAGTCTTATCTCCCTCTCACACTTTCAGTTCTAAACTCTAGTATGATTTCTAAAATAAGATCATGTCTTACTTCCTTTTGTTCACAAGTGTATGCACGCAAGAGTATACATACACACAATCTCAGTTTGGTTCAGTACACAAGGCTTGAAAGCCCAAGCTATGAACAAAATTGTACATTTTTCCTTAAAAATTAACCAAATGAAACTCATGCATTAAGAAGAATGTAAATTGAACCAGTGGTATATACCTATATCTAAATGTCTTACAAGATATTCATATTGTCTAGGACTTAATACTCATCAATTATGTTGCAAATGCATTCCTGAATATGTCAGCTTACAACCCTGAACATATAAAAAGTTGACAATCTTACACAGTATGAAATTGGAAGAATAACTTAAAAAACACAAATTTTATCGCAACTGCTCATGAGCACTTACATGAACAAATTGCCAGGGATATGATCCTCCATTACTCTCAAGTGTTCTGCTTAGCTGTAATTTTCCCTCTTTCCAGGCTGCTATTGTATGAGTCTCAAGTTGTTCTTGAGTCAAATTTGAACCATGATTTCCCAGCTGAAATTATGCTTGTTAAATAAGTACCGTATTTGTAGATATATACCTCATGCATTCCATTATAAGAGTAGCATACTAATTATATTAGATACTGAAGAAGTAACAACAAATGATCATGATGACAACATCAGGGTTCTTAAACATTGGAAGGCCTAGAAGATATTTGCCTAAAGACAAGAGCATCAGGGAGGTTCCAGAAGGCAAATACTTTCAAGGTTATTTCTAAAAAATACCTCTTTAAAATATTTTATATAAGCCAAATTATCTTGTAACAGTTCAAACATTATTTATTATTAGCCTAAAATAATGGTAACACGACTCTTTTAAAATTTTCATCATTTTATACCAGTTGCTAAGTTCTTACTCTAATCAATTTGTGACCAGCTCTTAAAGTGGCTTAAAATATCAATATTACAAAATTACAATATGTAGGGTACAATTCTGACGTATACCAAAAACTTGCACAGGAGAGTTGCATAAATGTGTTATTCCCCCACAAACCTCTTTCAGTATTAAAATGAAGTCCATTGCACTAAGAACTCCAACGAACTGGCTCCTGCAAAAGTCCCATAGAGGAGCCATAGATATGCCCTGAAAGAAAATTGCATTAAAATTCATACAAGGTTAACACATTCTGCCTAACTTGTGAGAAGATGGGTGTGTGCCTCATGTAAGTAAAATGAAAAAAGAAGGGGGGAGGCATGGACATAATGGAATAAAGAGGCGGGGGAAACCTGTTCATAAAGAACATGGAATGCTTGCTTAACAGGTAAATTTATATCCAAGGCAATGATCTGCAATTATAATAAAATAATCAAGAAAAATTTGTTAAAACAAAGTAAATTTCACATTCTTATTGAATAAGGAGGTAATTGAGAAGGTAAAAATATCCAAACCTTCCCTGACTCAGGAAGCAAATCATAGGCAGTATGTGTAGACAGGAATACAGTTATGCGGTGCCGAGAGACCTCCAGATCGGACACAAGCATCCTGGGATTAGTTTCCTGGTAAATTATGAGTTCATGTCAATTAGACTTTCTGTATTGCATATAGTCTAAGAATACAAGGAATTAAGGGCTAAGGTACCAAATCTGACACTATTTAAAATGATATTATATACAAGAAAAATTAAGATATTAACTTATTCAAAGCAAAAAGAAGATTAAAAGATTCAAACATTATTTTCTTTTTATGAGTGTGTTTGTTCAAGGTTTACAACTTTATTCTTGAAAATGTGAACTCAGGAGTGCTATATTCCCATATTTCTAATGAGCTTCCAAAAATTATTCCAGGGTATTGTTCATTCCCAATAAAATAGTAATACCTTGTTTTCTTTTATTTTTATGCCCATAGTGACGGGTGGAAATTACATTCCCATGGAAATATGATAAGTTAGTTTCTGACTCAACTATAGCTTTCCATTTCTTTTATATTTTCTTCTAATCATTTGAATTTTAGAAAACATTCCTAGAAATGTTAATAAAATCCAACAAAATGCATTTTAAATTTTACCCAAGAACGTTCCAGTTTATAATATTCTCAGGAATGGCATTCATTAAACCATAAAACAAGCGCCACCTAATAAAAAAGAAAAAGAGACAATCGGATAATCTCCTAAGCAAAGTAAAACAAAACATTAGTGAACGTAACAATGCTCTCCAATCTTTTTGTCCTTCTATTGCGAAGACTGCATTAAATATAAAATGGGGCTAGCACCAAAGGGAGGCTAGAAAAAGATTCAGTCCCATCTTAGATTACACCACCACAAAGCCCTCCCATTTTACGCTATTCCAAAGTCCGAGAAAAATAGATTAACTGAAATATGATTTTTTTTATTATTTCAATACAAAGAGATGATATAAGATATATACAAGAGACCTAAACTATTTTAGGAAATATAATAACTCTATTTTATGCTAGGATCCCTTGATTTATGGGATTGTTCCTAATTATTCAAATCTGTACAGATTACAAGGAAATATACAAATTTCCTTATTTATTCTTTCCTAAAATACTATTTGATTTCTCACACTTCCCCTCAAGCTGGTGAATAGATGTTTTCCATTCCCAGCTTGGATACAATCTTCTCAAAATTATGGCAGCCCAGTCCCTTGGTAAGAATGTCTGCAATTTGGTCTTGAGAGGACACATATGGAGTGCATATCAAGCCACTATCAAGCTTTTCTTTGATGAAGTGTCTGTCTACTTCAATATGCTTTGTTCTATCATGCTGCACTGGGTTGTGGGCTATACTCGATTGCTGACTTATTATCACAATAGAGCTTCATAGGTTCTTCCCACTTTATCCTCAAGTCTTCTAAGATGATTTTAAGCCATAGCAACTCACATATACCTTGTGCCATGGCTCGGAATTCTGCTTCAAGCATCTGGACCGAGCCACTACATCCTCGCTTTTTGCTTCTCCAAGTCACAAGATTTCCTCCAAGAAAGGTGCAATATCCTGTAGTTGACCTCCTATCCACAATTGACCCTGCATAATCGGCATCGGTATAGGCTTCAAGCTTCACATTACCATTCCTTTTGAATAGAATCCCTCTTCCCGGAGTTCCTTTAAGGTACTGTAAAATTCCGTGGGCAGCTTGTAAATGGGTCTCCTTTGGGCTATGCATAAATTGGCTAATTAAACTCACTGCATAGGCAATATCCGGCCCGGTATGTGACAAATATATAAGTCTCGCCACTAATCTTTGGTACATATCTTTTTCAACAACGAACATCTTCTTCCGCATTTCCAAGCTTTAGGTTTGGTTCTAATGGGGTACTAGCAGGTTTGCAAGCTGCCTTGCCAGTTTCCTTGAGCAAATCGGTGATGTATTTCTGCTGAGATATAAATATTCCTTTCTCGGAGTGGGCAACTTCAATTCCCAAAAAATATTTTAGTTTTCCCAAAGTCTTGATCTCAAATTCCTTGCCTCTAAGCATTGACTCAATAATTGTTGCTCTTCTTTATTATCTCCAGTTAATATTATGTCATCCACATACATCAATAATATTGTTACTCCCCCTGACTTGGAATGTTTAAAAAACAAAGTATGGTCCCCTTGGCTTTGTTTGTAACCCAGCACTGTCATAACTTTAGTAAACCCGCCAAACCATGCACGGGAACTGTTTTAACCCATATAATGCCTTTTTCAACTTGCAAACAAGTGTTGGCAGCAACATCTTTACCATATCCCGGAGGTATCTCCATATAGATTTCTTCTTCAAGGTCTCCATGTAGGAAAACATTCTTAACATCAAATTGTTCCAAGTTCCAACCATAATTGGCAGCAAGGGACAATATCACCCTAACTCGTGTTCATTTTGGCAACCGGAGCAAAGGTCTCCAAATAATCAACTCCATAGGTTTGGGTGAACCCTTTGGCAACTAGTCTTGCCTTATATCTCTCAATTGATCCATCGACCTTGTATTTCACTCGTATAGACCCATTTACATCCAACTCGGCCTCTTTCCTATTGGTAAGGTGACTAACTCCCAAGTGTTGTTCTTCTCCAATGCCTCCATCTCTTCATCCATGGCTTGCCTCCATTTTCCGTCAGACAATGCCTCGGATAGGGTATTAGGTAGAAGTACGAGTGTTTAGGTTTACTAGGAAGGTTTTATGGGTAGGAGAGAAATTTTTAAAGGACAGGTAATTTGAGAGAGGGTAGAGTGGCTGTTTGGTGCATTTTCTTGTTCCTTTTCTAATGGCAATTGGGAGGTCGGGATCATTTTGGGTTTCAATTTCAACCTGCAGCATACTGGAGAAAAAATTGTTACCTCTTTTTGTAGAGTCGAGTTGGATTCTTGAACATGGCTTGATCCTGGAATGGCCTTAGTCTTCCTTGAGTACACCAGACTTCTTACCAAATTTTCCAGCTTCAACATCTTCTTGATCGACTTCACAATTAATTTCACTTTCTTGACCAACTTCCTTTGCTTGACCAATTCCTTGACTTGTTTCATTTGTAACAACTTCAATTTGATCTTCAATTTGATCTTGTTTAGGTTCAAATATCAAGTCCGGAAGAATGGGAAAACCAGAATTACTACTTTCAATATGATTTCGTTTAGGTTCAAATGTCATGTCCGGAATAATGGGAAAACCAGAATCACTACTTTCCTTATCTTCCCCGAAACTCTCCCCTTGAAGATAAGGTTGATGGAAATAGCCCTCTTGTTCATTGAAGGTAACATCCCTAGACACAAAGAATTTTTTGGATGGGGGTGGTAGCATTTATACCCTTTTTGAGTGGGTGAGTAACCAACAAAGACACACTTTAAGGCTCTAGGATCAAGTTTTCCCCTGTCCGTACTATGAATATGGACATATGAGATGCACCCAAAAACTCTTGGTTTAAGATTATTTGTAGTAGACAAGTTTGGATAGAAAGACGACAAAATTTTCATAGGGCTTTTTGATCCTAAGACTCTAGAGGGTAGTCTATTGATAAGGTATGTTGCTGTAAGGACAGCCTTCCCCGTAAATTTTTTGGGACACTTTTTTGGAACAACAATGCCCGAGTCTCGATTTAATAGATGTCCATTTTTCCTCTCTGCGACCCCATTCTCGTTGTGGTGTTTTGACACAAGAGGACTCATGAATTATACCTTCCTTTTGACAAAAAGAATTAAGGACATGATTGAAGTAATCTTTGGCATTATCCGACCTAAGCCTCTTAATATTAACACCAAACCGATTTTTTATCATGGAGTGAAAGTTTAGGAAGACAGAACCGACTTCGATTTTTGTTTAAGTAGGAAAACCCAAGTGACCCTTGTACAGTCATCTATAAAGGTGACAAACCATCGAGTACCGAGACACATTTGGAATATTAGAAGGTCCCCATACATCAGTATGAACAAGATAAAAAGGAAAATTGCTAATTCTATTACTTATTGGAAAAGATATACGTTTGTGCTTAGCAAGTTCACACACCTCACAATGAAGACTCTCAACATCTAACTTGGTAAACAAAGAGGGAAATATAATTTTGATCACTCCAAAAGAGGGATGTCCCAACCGACAATGATAAAGCATGATTTTTTCTCTGCTGGTCATCAAGGATTCAGATATGAAGGAGTGAGAGATTCTATTCTTGTCAGGCGAGACTTGGATCTTCGAGATAGTAAAGGCCATTCCATTCTCTAGCATGTTCAATCATCCTCCCCGAATCCTTATCCCGAAATACACAATGATCGTTGGAAAAAACAACTTTACATGACAAATCCTTTATAAGTTTTTGTATAGACACTAGGTTCGTGGACAACTTTGGGACATGGAGAACGTCTTTTAAGGTTATTAAAGGATTGATTTGGATATTTCCTTGACCAGCTGCAGTTATAAGGGTTCCATCTCGCTGTGGCAATTTTCTTGTTGCTGGGACATGGGGAATATGTGGAGAAGTGTTTGGCTAATGGTGTCATGTGATCTGTGGCTCCAGAGTCCAATATCCAATAATGGTTAAAAGGCGTATCCGAGACATTTAATCCAAAAGAAGGTGGAAACTTACCCGAGTATGCCAAAGAACACATACCCGTAGGTTTTTCCAGACTTACTAAGAATGGTTTTCACCCTTTCTATCTCCTCTTCCCTTGACATTATAGCAAAAAGGTGCGATGCAACAACAATGCAGGTCGTCGTCTTAGGATTATGAAAAATGCAGCAGACGAATGCAGGTCGTCGTCTTAGGATTAAGAAAATGCAGCAAGCAATGTAGGCAGCTGCCTTAGGGTTAAGAAAAATGCAGGCAGCAATGCAGTCGCCGTCTTAGGGTTACAAAATATGCAGCAGCATTGCAGGCTGCCGTCTTAGGGTTTATTATGCATGGACAGAGCTTCCTAGATCTGAAGCTCGATACCATCTCGAGAAAAATAGATTAACTGAAATATGATTTTTTTTATTATTTCAATACAAAGAGATGATATAAGATATATACAAGAGACCTAAACTATTTTAGGAAATATAATAACTCTATTTTATGCTAGGATCCCTTGATTTATGGGATTGTTCCTAATTATTCAAATCTGTACAGATTACAAGGAAATATACAAATTTCCTTATTTATTCTTTCCTAAAATACTATTTGATTTCTCACACAAAGCAACTGAAGCTAATCAAAAGAAATATCCAAAATTTTGGAGGGGGTGTTTGTAACCCATTCTATTATACAATACAATCAAATCCATCATGGAAGAAGGAAAATGTAGGTCCAAAAAGCTAGTCAAATTACATTTGCCTCTTCTGGTGACTTTATTTTGCCATGCCACTGTGGTATGAAGAACAAGGAAAAATTGAAAACAGAGCATCATTATTTCTTCTAAATAGCTGATAAATCTCACTCTACAGTAAACTCTAACTTCAGAAATTCATTAAAGTGGGACTTTACAGTCACATGTATAGGACTACAAATGCATGCATTTTTTTTTCTGCACGAAACAAAGGGATGCTAAAAACATAGCACTAGTGATGCAGGGTAGAGCCTCTATATTAAATGGGAATCAGTTTCTACCACAGCCAATTTGGGAATTCGAACTCATGCGCCATTCCTGTTGTGTGGTATTGGAAAAATCTAAGCCCAAAAACATTGACTAGAGATAGTGTCAAAATATACATTACAAAAGTGTGTTGGGGGGGGGGGGGACAATCCTCACTGTATATAAGGCAATTTTGTAAAATTAAATTAAGAATCCTCATTATAAGATGGTATCTGAGCCTATCTTAGATCCACTAGAAAGTGTCACTCACCATATTACTCACTTACCAAGTCCAATAGAGTTGGACATGAAGGGTTGTATTGGGAAAAAATCAAATCCCATATTAACTAGAGATCGTGTCAAAATACAGTATATAAGTGGGCAATCCTCACCTTGTAAGCCGATTGTTTATGGTTGAGTTAATCCTAAACCACTTTGTAAGACGTTGAAAGAGCAGTCCATCCACACAGGAGTCAAGCTCCAGTCCCAATTAGAATACTATCCAAACACAAAAATATGACAACAGCAAAAGGGGAAAAGAAACTTACCATATTATCTACCTCCATGTGGGATCTACCAGGTGCCGTACTTAAGATGGAGGGTAAGATATCTGGTTCTCTCCCTAAATAAAAAGTATTTACTACTCCAAAGCTTCCACTTACAGATGGCTTCTGCTCATCGTGCCGCCACTCACCATCTACATTAAATTTGTACTGCATATGATTGGAAACAAGATTTTCCCTGTCAGTATAAATTAGTTACTCTTGCCATATTGTAATAGCAGTACTTTAATATTTCCTAGAATATCACAGATATTATATCAACTAGGTGGATCACATTAAACATACTAACTCTATAAGTGATGGGAAAGAAAGTAAAGTACCACATAATAGATAAATCAAATATCAAATTAATATTTACATGCATACATACAGCTTATTGGACATTTTAAAAAATATTTTTTTGTAATTAAGTGACATTGTAATTAAAAGCAAAAACAAAAAATATTTTCTCAAACCAAACAGCCCCATAAGAATCTTTTTCTCTCAGATCATTATATAAAGTAGAGGGGAAAGAGTAGAATATTCAATATAACAGAAATTGCTCCTTCAAATATACAAGTAAGGCTGTAATCAGTTGTTCTGATGTACAAATTAAACAATAGAAGAAAACTTATACAAGCTTTCAATTTTAGTCAATTTAAGATAATGTAAAATTGATAGAGCGATAGCTCCAGCAATATGAAGTGCTTCAAACTCATGTGTTAAGGTTCTTGATGGAGGATAGTCTAATTGGCAATCTAGGTCATAACAAGCTTAAAGAGTTAATGGTTCCATCAAAGACATCATTAATCTAATCTACTACACAATTGGCCATCCTTCTTCTGAGAAAACAAGCTTGCATGATTTACTCCATAGTCAATGACCTAATTACCTAAGGGTTTTACCAGTTCATATCCAACCATCAATGTTTACTGTTTACTCTTTACAACAACGCCAAAGGGGCAAGACCAACTCCCTTTCCTTCCATGAAGCCCGTGCCAACTTTTACCCATCAATTACTGGTACAAACTCCAAATGGAAGTTGAAAATAATCATGAAGTTCCTTATCAATTTCCACAAAATTTACATTAAAAAACAGAACCACGCTAGTGGGAGCTTTAAAGCAATTAATTTACAGGCACACTCCTCTTATTTGGTTTTCAGTTTCTCCAGTAAGAAGAACATACACAATCTGACAAGCTCAACCCCTTATAGCAATCTTTCAAAGAGAAACACGTGCTATTGAACCTAATAGCCATCAAGCACGTACATACAAACATACAAGTAAACGATGTAAAAACGGCAACCACACTAAGGATTATTTCCTCATGTTTACCAACCAAATTCACATAGGCCAAACAACCTGATGAAAGCCCGGCATTAAGTTACAAACAACTTGAAACACGGCAGGGTTCCCCTCCATCGGAGACATAGCTATATGATCTGACCATCTGTGAACATGATACAAGTCAACATCAGTAAATCAATTTCCATTCCTAACATCACAAAAATAAGAAACCACAAAGCAATCCTATATTCACATCTCTAAGGCCGAATAACAAAAAACAAGGATCATAACAGCTAGTAGCGTTGTAACAAACAATATACCTCGTGAAAGAACCACTTAGAAACACCCTTCTTCCACCATGAGGCCACACGAAGCAATGAGGAATCAAAATCGGTGCCGAAACTCCACTTCCCTCGCATGCCCCATCCGGAACCGGAGCAAACATTTCCCCAACAAATCCAATACCTTAAATCCAGAGCAACTCTCCAACTTCGAACAACAAAGCCACGAATCTGAACAACCAACGACGGGAATCCTCGGAGCAGAGGATCCCCTCTCCTCAGAAATCCAACATGCAGTGCACCTTCACAATCAACGCCACACTCCCGATTGCAATACCGAAAATCTTAAAATCACGTGCAATGTTGATGAAAACCTCGTGATCGATAATTCGCCGCCTGAAAAATCAACGAATTACAGTGACGCAATCAGGAATAAAAAGTGCAATCGAAAGCACCATTGAGTTTGGGAAGGTGTGTACAATTTTGGTGTAATCAGTCACAGAAAAGTGCGCGGAATCAGCAGAAGATGATTTAGGTCAAAAGAAGAGAGAAAGAGAGAGAAACGATGGTGTTTGTGATGCAGCAAGCCAGGGAGCTAGAGGGAACCAAAAATGAGAATGGAAGAGGGGGAAGCACTAATTAAATTAATTAACTAATAAATTAATTAAAATGGCAGGCAGAGAATAAAGGGAAAAGAGAAACAGAGGCAAATTAAGACAGCCCAAAAAAATACAGTGGGCAGGCGCAGTAATTATGCAATTAATCTGCCTTCACAACCCAATATACAAATCAATGTAATTCTAATTAATTTTACCCTTTTCCTTCATTAAAAATTTCTCAATAAAATTTTAAAATTATATTCTCTCTTTTAATTTGATTTGTTTATTTTATAAATTATTCAATAAAAAATTATAAAATTATTTCATCAAAAAATTTCTTCAAATAATTAATATTTTATTCAATCGTATCAATAATTATTTTTTATTATTAACTTAATCTTAATGGCTTTTCGGTACATAATTCATTAATAATGTAATCATATTTAAATATAAATGATTACATACAGTAGTATGATTATTAAGTTTTTATAGTAATTATTAATATATAATTTTAGCATATAATTGATGTAATATAAAAAGATAACCTTATATAATATAAGAATTGGTAATAAAACTTAAATTTTCATAAAAATGTTAAAAGTTATAAATAAAATTGTTGGTATATTGGTGAAAGACATGGCATATGAAACAAAATTTTGAATAAGTTTGTTCCATTGAAGTCTCTTCAAAGATTTTGGGGTCTCAAGGAGATTGCTACTTGACAAGTGTCACGTGTTCTATCCTCATTCAAAAGGTCCCATTTTGGATGTCAGTCTTTTGCAAATTATACAATCAACATGTGTTCATTAATAACTTGTCGATCTTTCCTTCTGTCTGTATTCAACTTTGGAGTTACTCATATTACTAATTTCCATTGAAGATACCAAAATAAGTGTGATTTGAAAAATCAAAAAGTAAATTAAGTAAAAAAATAATTATTTAAATTGAGTCGAATAATTTCTAGTAAATATTTGACTTAAAAGGTTTGAGTTGGTCTAATTTATAGACTTATAAATATTTTTATTAATTATTTTTTAAAATAAAAATAATATAACTTTATGATAACATAGATGTAGTTTATAGAAGGGGACATTTGATCTGCTTAATTTGATAGATTTTGTTAAGATCCGTTAATGGTCATGATCTTCAGCGGAGGTAGGTGAGTCTTACAAGTTATGTTTTGATTGGTGCATGAATATGCCGCTTTCATTACATAATTATTATTTTGTTTTTCTCGACATTGCAGTGTATGAAAGTTTGAATATTCCTAGTACATGAATAATCTAATTGGCTCTGCTTGGCAAAAAAATTAAACGAAATAAAAATAGAATATTATAATCACATTAAATACTTAATTTAAAATATATTTTATCATAATAAAATATTTTATCATTTAATTAAAATTGATAAATGTTTATGAAATAAGATTATATTTTTTTCTAGTGATTTGATCTAATTGTAATTAGATTATTAGTGAAATTAAGTAATTTTAAATAAATATTGAATTTTTATTAATAATTCTAATGTAATAAAAATATTTATAATATTTTAAAATTTATCATATAATTTTAAATATAATTTTAAATATATCATATTTTAAAATTTATTTAAATATATATATATACATTATATATATATTACAAATTTTATGAAATTTAGACTAAGTCATTAATATTTATTTTACAAAATAAATAATAACTTTTTAAAAATTTAAATCGGATATCATTATTTATAACACGCTAATACTATATGCTCAATTTACAAGTTTTATGATTAGAAATATTTAGTTCATATTAGAATAAATATTTTTTTATTGTATTTAATTGAATTCTTAGCTATGTTTTTTCTCTATAAATTTTGAAAATAATAATTTAAAAATTTGAATCTATAAAATGAATTTGATGTAAAGATTTTCAATATAAAATTTAAAATAAAATCATATAATTATTTAATCATTTAAATAATGAATATACAATTCAAAAATAATACTACATAACAATATTATTATGTGTTATTCTAAATTGTATATTGGGTGATTCAGTTCTCAAACAATGTTGTCTATAAGATATTAAGAAAAAGTAAAAATCACAACTGATCCAAAAGAGTCATAACGTGAAGAAACTTTGTAGGTCATGCATGAGATTGGTTCAAGGAATAAAATTATTTTATTAGAAAAAAAATACTAAAAGATTTTTTTATTATTATTATTTTGTTATTATCATTTTTTTTATGGATTCAGTCAGCTAGGTGTAATATATTATTAAAACCTTTATTTGTAATATATTATTATTTGATAGGAGATGTAAAACTTGCTGTTATTAATGTTCTTAGTATTTAGCTATTATAAATAATAATTTTTATAATATTTTATCCACTACTATTTATAATTGTTATTTAAAATACGTAATTAAAATAATAGATAAAGTTAATATATTTTAAAGTCACAATCTTTACTTATTTTTCTACTTATTATGTTTTGATACACATTTATAAAATTCATATTAGTTAGAAATCTTTGACTAAAGATTCTTTGTATATATTTTTCTAGTGATATTTTTACAAAACGAAATGGTGATATACTATAGCTATAAGTTAACAATATATCATTCCTAAATTTCAATAAACACTCTTATTATAAATCCTGAAAATTTATCATATAATTTGTTTATACAACATATTAAATTGTAATATTTATAGATGATTCAAGTATTTATTTATTTGTTAACAAAATTATTATTAAAAAAATTATATAAAAAATTTACTTTATATATTTAAATAATAATAAAAATATATATTTAAAAATAATAAAAACAAACAAATATAAAATAGGATAAGGTTTATAAAGAAAAAGAAAAAAATTAAAAATAAAGAGAAAAATAAATATATAAATACTCTTTAAGCTTTTATTTATCTAATAACAAATTTATTATTTTATTTATAATTATTATCACTTAGTAAAGTGTTCATAATTTTTTTATTTTACATTTATGATTATTAGTTATGTGTTTTTAATGTTTTATTTATATTTAATTTACTTTTAGTTATACAATGATATTCTTTTTATATTTATTTAGTTAAATCACTATCAATTACACATATCTATTTTTATATTTATATAATTTATCTATAATAATGTACTCAGTCATCTTTCTACAATTTTTTATATTTTTATTTTATTTATTTTTAATTAAACATCTTTATTAATTAATGTTTATATTATTTATTTTATCTATGGGTTATTTTTATTAATTTATATTTAAATTATCTTTAATTTAAAAAATATAAAATAGTTGAAGTTAAATATTGAGAATTAAACTTTGATTCAATTATCTTTATAAATATAAAATCGATTCAAAAAAATTTAATATCAAATAAAATATATTTATTAAATTGATTGAGTGATTTGTATATTTTATTTACATTATATTTATTTTCATTTACCTATTTTATCACTTATACATAATATAATTAAAAATATATCAAATTAAATAAATGGAGACACTACTTACGAAATTTACCTATTTCATTACATGCATATGACGTTTGAAGGGTAGCATCATAGGTCAAATTTATAGTAGAAAATAGAAAGTTGATGTCATTTTTTTTTAACTAGAGCAGCGTGAATGATAAGAAAACAATTCCAATTAATAATAATAAAAAAAATAATTCAATAATATGAAAACAATATATAGGTTTCCACTCGTCTTGTATGAAGGATTACTCTTTTGTAAATTGTTTTTTATGTTATTGAAAAGAGAAAAAAAAATCATGCATAATGAAAGAACATAAGTTACATTTACGGACTAAAGAAATAAAAAATACTGAATAAAATAGATTAAAAAAATATATTATATAAAATGAGATTTCCATCTCTGTAGTAAATTTTTATGTTATAAAAAAATATCATATATATAGTAAATGGAGAGAGACAGTGAAATAAAAAAGAAAAAAATATACAACTTTTTTTTTTAAATTATGTTAAAAGTAAGTACATCGAAACACTTTAGTACCTGTATTTTTATTAGTATTTAAAATAAAATAAGAAACACAATTGAATAATGATATATAATAAAATTAAACCAATATATATAGTTAAATTAAATCAATATGTATGGATTAAAAATCATTTTATATTAATTAAATAATAAAATCAAAATAAAAATTTAAATGTTTTTTTGTATTTTTAATTTCTTTTAAATTTGATTATCAGTGTAAATATTAATTATATTTTTTGATATTTCATCTATTTAATATATACATATATATATATATATATATATATATATATATAAAATTTTGATAGAACAATTTTTTTTAATAAAATTTAAGATTTTATTAATTACATTTTTTATTTTGTAAAGTTATATTTATTATTTAAAATAATAATAATAATAAATTACTAATTGAAAATAATATAAGTTAATAACATAATTTTATGCATCATAAATATTAAAATGTTAGTAAAAATAAAAGAAGTACACTAACATACATTGAAAATAATAACAAAAATTTGTATTGTAATTTATTATTTTTAAAATGGCATTGATGACAACTAAATGAGAATAAAAACAAATGAATAGAAGAAAAAAATGATTTAATATCAATGATAAAGAGTAAAATTATTAATTTTTGTTTTAAATTATTGTACTAAATTCAAGTATTTATATCATTTCTGAAAATAATTTTAAATCCATCAATCTGTGCATTAATTTTTGATGAAATGTAATTAATTAATTTTAATAATCCTTCTAGATTTAAAATTCAATTGTATTTATTAAATTTTAATCAGTTTATATTCAATGGTTGCTTCTAGTAATAAACTGGCATCCAACTCATATGTTGTTAAATTAAGTAAATGT